ACGAACTCACGGAGCTTACCGGAACTTTTAACGAAATGTCCGACGAATTGACAATTCAATACAACCGCCTTGAGGAGCGCGTGGCTGAGCGGACTAGGGAGCTGGAGAAGGCTAAATTAATGGCAGAGACTGCCAATGAAAGCAAAACACTTTTTATTGCCAATATTTCACACGAGTTGAAGACGCCCCTCAACGGAATTCTAGGAATGTGTGCCGTTTGCATGGGAGAAGACGACCTGCCTCGAATCAAGAAGTCTCTTCAGGTCGTTTATCAATCTGGGGATCTTCTGCTTCATCTTTTGAATGACTTGCTAACGTTCAGCAAAAATCAAATCGAGCAGGCCATTCATCTCGAGGAGAAAGAGTTTAGGCTTTCTGATGTTAGATCTCAGTTAGCCATAATCTTTCAGAACCAGGTGCACGAGAAGAAAATTGACTTCAGTGTCAACTGTATGGCTGGTGGAAAGGATCAGACCGCAAACCAGTACTCGATGTGCCATGAACAGAGTCTTGAGTCAGCTTCGCCAGGAAGGCTCATGGATATGATCCTTTGGGGTGATCAACATCGCCTCCTTCAGGTCCTGATCAACTTGGTCAGCAATAGTCTGAAATTCACGCCAGAAAATGGAAGGGTCGAAGTCCGGATCCGGTGTTTTGACGGTCCCTTGGTCTTAGACGGCTCAAATTCCCCAAAGCAAGGGCCTCAAGCGAGTAGTGGGTCTGATGATATCCAAACATATCATCGGAATAGCCTGGAAAGGCAATCAGCAGATCAATCATGTTTCCGACCGTTGTTCTTCCAGTTTGAGGTGGAAGATAATGGGCCGGGCATTCCTGCACACCTTCATCGACGTATCTTCGATCCGTTCGTCCAAGGCGACTTGGGGCTTAATCGTAAATATGGAGGCACTGGCCTCGGGCTGAGTATTTGCGCCCAGCTTTCGCGGATCTTGAATGGTGTCATCCTTGTGGATAGCGAGGAGGGACGAGGATCCATTTTCACACTCCGAATTCCTTTGAAATTCGTCAAGGAGCTGGCCCCAAGTACTCACAACTCTAGTGCTCCCGGCTCACGAACACCTAGTGTTCTGTCTCTGGATGGATTCTCAAATACAGCACGTACGACGTCTAACCACGGATCTTTGAAAAGCGAACCTGCAGCTCCTGGATTTGATAAGTCCGATATCCAACCGCGACTGGTTGGTCTCAGCCAACCGTTTTTCACCCCAACGGTTCCCGCATCGCCTGCATTGTCTGCATCTAAGGGCCCACGGTCCAAGAACGGCCCAACGACGCAGAGTGAAGACCCTCGGAAGATTCGAGTTTTGGTTGCCGAGGACAACACGGTTAATCAAGAAGTCGTTCGGCGGTATGTTCAAGGAATTTCCATCCAGTCCCCAGTAGCCAGTCGCTAATACCCAATAGAATGCTTGCCCTTGAAGAAGTATATGATATTACGATGGTGAAGGATGGACAGGAGGCTTTTGACACTGTTAAGCTGAGCATGGAAAAGGGACTCGTTTTCGATCTGATTTTCATGGACATTCAGGTGAGATTTCTCCCCTAACCTCGAAGCCCTTGGTTACTAAATATTTCAGATGCCAAACCTGGATGGCCTGCAAAGCACCCGACTCATTCGTGAAATGGGCTACTCTGCCCCTATTGTGGCATTGAGTGCCTTTGCAGAAGAGAGTAACATTAAGGAATGCATGGAGTCGGGCATGGATATGTTCATCAGGTGAGTAGCCGTCACTGCCTTTATTGCAGACCTTGAATTAATAACAACCCTACCTAGTAAACCGATCCGCCGCCCTGCACTAAAACAGGTTCTCAACAAGTTTGCGACCATCCCGGAGGAGCTGGAAAGCAACTCACATATTAATTACTAGTGGAAACAAGTCAATTTGTACAAGCACCCGGCGTGTCAATATACTTTCTTCGAACGCAACTTCACCTGGGCAAGCTTTTTGCTCTTAGTAGCGTATCCATGTATTAGCATCTTTTCCTAGCGCCCCGGGGCCTTTCCACCTTGAGCCTTCAAGTTCCTCCAGCACTGCTACTAGTAGTATTGCAGTAATACTAGAAGTTGATAGGGATCTTGAAGGTCACCGGAGGCTGCCCGGGTACCTCAGACATCCAAGATCGCCTTCCCGCGGGGTTGCTGCCTTGCCCTCTCCGAGTTATAGATCTCAACCTGGCGGGTACAACTCCTAGTAGTATTTTGTGCCTATGCGTCACCATTTTCATGGTTCTGCCCAGGTGAGCTTCTGTTGGACAGTTTTCGTCTGATTAGGTATAGATATGCTTTCAGGTACTCCGAGGTCGTTACCCAATATTCCACGCTTCAATTTGGCTTCCAAGGTTGTTCAAGTTTTCATAGTGAGACCCTGTCTCTCGCGTCGGTCATATCGGATTTAACCTTACAACCGCCGACAAACGCGAGGTTACCTGATTTGTCTCCAAGCCTCCCTTCCATCTTGTTTTGTCGGAATTCTTTCGCCATTGTTCTATTACGACCATGTCCGAATCACCCAGAATTATCCGAAAGCGCCGGCGCCCTGCGCATTCATGTGTTGAGTGCCGCCGCCGCAAAGTCCGGTGCGATCGAAATAAGCCGTGTGGTCAATGCGTCTCCCACGGCGCCCCGTCTTGCAATTATGCGGATCACGTCAACGCTGGGCAGGGATTCCATGTTGGCCCAGCGAGCACAGGAAACCAGAACAGGTCACAGTCTCCTACATCTGTTGGTCAGTCAAGTAATAATGTCTCCGAACGGGGCCCGACGACCTTTGGCCAAATACATGGCATTATGTCCAAGACTCGGATTTTCGGCCATGGGCACTGGATGAATACAATGCCTCTAGTAAGAAAATTATTTTTTTCGACATACCTAGGTATTGTTCTTGGCATTCCTGCTGAATCTTTACAGGCGTCTGAGCTTTCTATCATGGGCCCAACCGGAGATTACAAGTCAATTTACACGCAACCGTCTAGTAGTGGCGAGCAAGACCCGATCTCGCAACTCATGACTGAATGCAAGCAATTAGCCCGGGAGGCCAAAAAGCAGCGTCCATTTCGGCAGTCTATCCCGGCACATATACACCAGTCAATCCCCAAACCCGAAGTCATTGAGGATCTGATCAGTCTCTATTTTTCCACTTTTGAATCTTGCTACAGGATCCTACATTTCTCCTCGTTCAAAAAGGAGTATGACAGTCATGCCAGGCAACCACAAAACACCAAAACATCTTTCCTTGTGGTTCTTCTACTTGTCATGTCTATTTCCGGCACGTTGCACAACGAAGCTCATGTTCGCAAGGACATATCGGCCAAGGCGCAATCATGGATCAGTGTTTCTCAAACATGGCTCTCAGCCCCATTCGAGAAGGATAGACTGACACTGAAAGGAATCCAGATTCACTGTCTCTTGCTTCTTGCTCGTCAAGTAAACCGAGTCGGGGCAGATCTTGTGTGGATCTCGGTAGGAACCCTCATGCGGATGGCAATGCAGATGGGGTTACACCAGGATCCGAGCTCGTTGCGAGAGATGGATATACAACAAAAGGAAGTTCGAAGGAGACTATGGTATACAATTTTGGAGATGAATGCGCAGTCTGCTTTGGACTCCGGTATGGCGCCTATGGTTACCGACGATGACTACACCACCCAACCACCATCGGACTTGAGTGATGAAGACCTCGACAACGCAACAAATTTAGGAGAAGACGGAAGTCCATCCCTGCAAGAAAGCCCTACTTTTTTTCAATGTGTTCTGGCACAGTCAGTTGGGTTCAGGTTGACTGTCGTTCGCGTTGTCAACAGTCTGAACGTGAAGCCTTCCTACGATGAAGTTCTCTCCATTGGACACAAGCTAGAGATAGCATGCCGCGAGGCCGCGAGTGCGCTGAACAGCACTACCACCCTGCGACGCCAAGCTCCGTTAAATCAATTTGCACATAGCTTTTGCAGCCACCTCATCCGCCGCCTTCTCCTTTGTCTTCACTTTACATATGCAATCCAGGCCAAAGGCTCTCCAATATACACTCATTCACAACAGGTATGCCTCGAAGTTTCTCTAGAGCTTGTCTCTCTACTCGATGACAATCTTTACTCCCGACTGCTCATAAATGGTGGTGGTATGTTTCGAGATATCATTACGAGAGGCGCCCTGGTGATATATCTAGAGTTGACCTCCAGACTGCCAGTGGAATCTAGTATTTCTCACTTTGCCAAAGAAAAGAACCAGTCCCGACAAATACCGTTGATGGAGGATGCTCAAAGGGTGGTTAAATATGCAGAAAATAGGATGTGCCATGGTGAAACAAATGTCAAGGGTTATGTGTTTTTCAACATGGCAACCGCTCGGGTCCAGGCATTACTCGAAGGCATATCTCCCGAGGAAGCTATACGCAAAGCTGCCCGTGACAGTCTGAACATATGCCATGGACTGCTTAGTGGCATGGTTGTTGAAAATGCCGAGAACCCTTTACCTGCCGACTTCCAGTCACATTCATTAGATGGAATATTTTCTCCTCAGGTCGCATCCGATTCTGGATTCGACTTTCTCGAAGATCCCAATTTGTACCTCCACTGTTCGGACTGGGACCTTTTTGATTCAATAAGCGGTGAAAGCTTGTTCGAATCTTAAAAATAAAGATTTACACAAATATAATGGCGCAGGTGTTGGCATCGAGCTCTTGATTTCTAGATTCTAAGTGATGGATGGGCCACCCAGAATATACATGGTAATCATTCCGCCCGCCAACTGGCCTGATTTCGATCGCAACCATGTTAGTAGCCACTGGAAGGTGCCACATATCAAACGACCTGGAATTCTCTCTTGTTCAAGTTCCTCTTCTCATTGTATTCCTGCTTCAATTGACTGATTAGTTTATTTATAGCTGGAATGCAAGTGCATATGAGACCTAGGCCGCCTTCGGCGTTACTGAAATTGTTAAACGTTTGTGACAAAATGAAACCAAAGAAAGAATTTTGTCAACTTACTCAGAAAGAAGAATTCTCAAAAAGAGATCTCTTCGAAAGGAGGCATCTCGGTAATGGACGGCAAGGACCAGTCGGTAGATACTGAATGCAATAGCAGTGCCCCCCGCGCCCAAAATGACAATGACATGTAGTTTCTTGGAAACGGCCATTTGCAATCCCCATGTGAGGGCTATCGGAAATGTTAGGATAGCCAGATCAGTGGTCACACTAGTCACGGAGTCGGCAATGATGATAGCAGAACGATTGAGACATGACCCAGCTAGATCGTTGACCTCCCACAATAGGCGGATTGGGGCGCAGGAAAACACTTTCACGAACAGAATAATTATATAGTAGGCAACTATTATTGCCAGAAAGATATAGAGTGATACGACCTTAGCCCGGTATGGGCTCCAAAGTCGAATCAATGTATAAATGAGAGAGGTTTTCACAAGCAGAATCATCGGAACGTAGATCATCGTTGCAATATAAAATATCTAAGTTGACAGTTCATAAGCATATATACTGACTGATTCAATAACGGTTCAAACGATACCTTGAGCTCAGTCCGAGTATCCGAGGGGCTATTACTACCGGGAGAAGAAGGCACGTCGGAAAAGGTGTCTATCAGAGTAATCATCAGCGAACCCAATCAAGATTAACAGGCCGCAGAAGAGAGTGTATACATAATAGGGTACAAATGCAATGTCCTAAGAAGAGAATCTAATAATGTAGGTTAGTTATATTGGATGTAATAATTTGAATTCACGAAATTGCATACCCATGCAATATAGCAGGATGCTAAATGTTGATCAGCAACGGGAAGCGCGAAAAGATATGGCTGGATTTATTGCATTTTTACCATCTTCGACACCAAATGAATGATGTAGTTTGAGCCGAGCAAATATCCTCAGAGCAATCAGAGGCGAAGTAATAGAAAAGCAGAGGATCTGAGTGACCAGGCTGATTGAATCCAGACTATTGGCCTCTTGGGGCTGATTGTTCATAATCAGGATATAGTTACCCCATGGGGATGCGGGGACCTGTCACTAGGAACATGCGGGATCAAGACTTGCGAGTCGACAATAGCATGCTATCGAATGCGAATGCGAAATGAAACAAAAGAAACAGTTCGATTTTGCCGTTTGGGCGTATCGGAAAAGATGCGAGTGGTGACGTCACTGTCAGTTTACCGGGCGGTTCCGCTTTTGTTGGCGCGGAAAGGGAATATTGGAAGAATTATAGTATGAGGTGTATGGAGAGGGAGCTTCACGATATCATGAATGTGAAAAGTTACTCTCAAGCAAAACAGTATGCTTTCTTTAGATAGTAGATACTGAGATATGAGTCACCAGGGCTGACAAAATAACTAGTGGTACTGTAGTACCTAGTACAAGTACAACTCGCTACTTTATACTAGTAATCCATGTGTCCTAAGGACCGGTACCTATCAGTGGGAATTTGCCAGATGGGCGCATTAAATGCTGTTTCTACTATTTTATTAGTGCCTCCCTCTTACTAGCTACTCAGACCGGAAAAAAAGTCGAGATATGAGTAGGTACTAGGATAAGCCACCAGCCGAGCATTTCACGGGCTCCTTACGAGCATTGAGGATGGTACTATGTAGTAACTATTTGCCAGGAGCTCTGATGTTTGATGTCTTTCGTCCACCCCGAGTCCGGAACGAGTATCTTCAAGTTGTTAAAAGGCTACGAGTATGTACAGAGCACGAGCAGATCTCAACCCATTATATGAAGTGGAGTCACGGTGCGGTACTCCGTACGGAGTACATACTGTCCAGGTGGTAAGATCAACGACCGTGTTTGTCAATATGCAACAGTGATCGTCTTGCTACATGTGTACATTATATGTTCGGAGTACCCCGGAGTAGCTGCATACATATGTATGTATGTACGAGACTCGTAGAAAAGTCCAAAGGGCTTAGGGGACGCATTATGACCCCACCGCCAAGGGGCTAGATTCTCGAGGCGATGTACACTACTAGTACTTCATATTCCGAAGCCAAAGTAATAAGCCTGGCTTCGATATGGGGGTACTTATGCGATTTTCTCTCCACGTTGCGAAAATAAAGGGTCGTCCTGACCGTTTCTCCCTTGGCGTTGCACGGACAATGGTGTGCCGCTTGACTCCTGGATTCTGATATTTGTGAGGGCAATTTAGACGAGTGGAGCAGCAGGCCTACATTCTACGTGCCCGCGTAGTCCTTGGCACAGGGACTGTTTAGACCTCGGGATCATAACAGGGGACTCCCGAGCCTTGGGTTGCCAAGACCACCATTATGCTTCCCACCGTTTTCGCTCTTTTGCACTCCGTACTCCGTACGAGGCTCACTTGACATGTAAAAAATCCTGTTTAAAGTTCTTACACCAGACGACGTTAGTTCAGGCACATACTGAAATCCGGTTCGGCCTAACCCCAAAAATGAGACGGTTTTTCGGAGCCCCGGTCGGGTCCACAGTGGGCTTTTGGAATCAATAGACTTTGGGCTCATGGTCCACAGTGGTAGAGGGGGCCATAGGCACCCGATACAGCATCATATGTATGAAAGATAGGTACTAGTACTCCGTACCCTGTAACAAGAAGAACACGCGCACCAATAGATTCAGTCCTCCAAGCAGACAATTTATGATTGAAAATAGTTATCTTGCAGCTTCAATACACCTGTGGGATCCAAATCAGGTTCTAGTCAGTTCATCTCTGTTCCAAAATATGCAATATCCCTTGAAATTTTCGCACCTTGAAACAATCCTCTGGACAAGTGTTAGAAGCGTAAATTGGAGAGCGAGGTGGATACCATAATTAAGCTTTCCTAATACTTTCTAGGAAGGTCTTTACGCAGTAGCCCAGCGCTGTCGAGTTCCAAGGCTGGGGATTTGCTATGGGCCGGTTTAAGCGCTGAAATGCTCCGTTAAATAGCCACGGCTGAGGTTCCCGACTCTGTACATACTCGTACAAAAAGAAAGAAAACTATACGGATTGCTCCCCCGATGAATGAGGAGTAAGTAAAAACTGTTCAGCGAAAACAATCACTCCAATTGTTGTAGCGATTGTAGTTCTTCGGGCAAGTCTCAAAATAGCACAAAGGGAGAGATCAAGAATGCTGTACTCCGTACTCGTACTATCGGCGGTCATCGCCTGGAGAGAGAAGGCAATAGCTGATCTAACCCGGAGCTCTAGATTCGGAGCTTTTGGGCCTGGGGGATATGGGCTAAGAAAAGTCTTCATAAGGAAAGTGTTACTAGACTCTCAATGCCTGGAAAGAGGTTTAATATACATTAACGAAATAACCAATATTTATGCAGGAATAAGGTACTCCGAATTGAAACAATGACAAGAGGTCCTAGCGGTGATTAACTCAGTGGGCGGACCTCCTAGATTATCTTTAACTCAGTAGATACGGTGGAGTGTATTACTGACGCCAGTGAATATGAATGTATCAGTCCTCACTCGAATCAAATTTAATATGTACTGCTGAATTATTGCATGGCAGAAATATTCTAACATTCGAAGAGAAAATCACTCAGATTCCCACTCTGCTTGGAAAATGTCTATATTTAAAATTGAAGGTACGTGGCCAATTCGACGGCAAAGAAGCCAATACTAACACATGAAGTATGTAATCCTGGAGCTATCCAACAAGGTGTCCAATCGAAGTCCGCGGGTGCATCTTGGCTTTTGACTCCGAGTCTGTTCTGGGGCGGGATATTCACGTCAGCTTTCAAATTGCAGTACCAAGTTCTCAGGTGTGCAAGAGATGTCAAGTATGTTGAGTATTACTAGTGGATGATTGCCATGACCATGAGGTGAGATTAAAGTATTCTTATAAGATTAAAAAAAAAAAAAAAAATTCCTTGGTGATCGAGTATTGAGGGAGGTGATGATAAATTTTTACACATATTGTGAGAAAAACATTTGCCATAGACATGTGAAAATGCCGGATGACGATAGAAAGTAATGTGATATACCTGACACATTAATACGAGTCGGGCCCACGAAACAAGGGAAGATATATACTGTGGGTGTTTGATGATAGGGCGTTGCAGTGATATGCGGAGAATTTGTTTCAGGTCTTGGCATTTCAAGGTTGAGGCGATGCTCGTCATCTGCCGCCGCTACCAGACAAGAGTGAGGGAGAACCGAATAGGGCATGAACCGACCATGTAAGGACCAAAAGTCGGGAATCTCAGCCTTGCGGTCATCGGTGCTGGTAACATTCGACAGCCGGCTAGTTGTATCTATCATTGGGATGCAATGTCTTCTCCGCTCTGAGATTGGAGAACCTGGCTGCAATTCAAAACTTGACGTTCATCTAGGTTTGGGTGGAACACGGTTCCTTCAGTGGATGGGACGCGTCAGGGTGCAGAATATTTACCGAGTATAGAAATCAGGTGGGGGTGCGCTTAAGCATGCCCCCGTATGGCGGTCGGCTAATTTGCCAGGGACTGGCATCAACACCTCCAGGGCTCTAAGCGAACCGGGCTCGGAGACATCACCCAATTATCGTCTTCCATAATTTGTGCGAATCAACTCAATCCATGGATGCTCCGTTCCGATGTCACAAGGGCGGGTGGTGGCAAAATCAAACCGCATTTGCCGACCATCCCGCCGTCCCTGACGCCCCTTAACGACATCTGATAAGATATACGATCTGATCCGTCCGGCCTCCGCTCCGCTGCCGATCTTTCCCTGGCTGTGGCTACTTATTGAGGACGATCTTGCACATTTTGGAGTCGCGATTAAGATGACGCTTGATAAGATGAGCACTATTCTCCAAACCATAGCCACTTTGAGAAAAAATCAGCAAGTGGTAGGCGGTATCCGAAATCATTCCACCACCCTCCGCACCGTAGCCCAAAGGAATTTTCGAAGCGAACGGAGCACTCCGTAACTCAAAGTTTCAAAAAACGAAAATCGGCCATATTGGGTTTGATATTAGTGCAACTGACCAAAAGGGAATTATGAGAATATTATGTATAAAAATGTAGCGTGTTGGATGGGTGCGAGATGGCCCGCACATTGATTCAGAAACGACCTCTGGACTTTTTCTGAAACCACTTCGTATGTACATAACCCCTCGGCATGATAGTATGCCGTAGTCAGTATACACTGGATTAATTGAACACCAAAGAAAACAAGTCCGAGAACCCTGCCGAACGTGATCGGTTGAACCTGTGGCATCCCGAGCTTTCAGCCGGTATGCCCGAGTTTTTTTTTTCTTCTCCCGACCGAGAATACGGAAGTACTCTAAGCCGGGCTTCGCCGGTGCACCGCCGGTATGCGTTGAGCGGGAGCACGCAATACAAGAATGAACTCAGGAGGAGGGGCAAGTCAAACGGATGAGCCTGCCCTACGGAGTAGGAGTTGCTTTGTTAGCGTCCTGTACAAGTCGAGATTCTTCAGCCGACCCCCTATGACGCCAAATCAAGAGCGGTCCTGAAGATCGGTGGGAAGGAAGCTTGGCATTGATACAATTTGGAGGCAACTAGATGAATGATTGGGCGAGCTGTCCGCCACGAAGTGGACCTTCGTTTAAACTGAGACCTTGGAAACTTCCAAGGTCCTGTCGATCTATGATCGTCCTGAGCAATTACTATTTTATACATACAGGCCGAGAACAAACGGGTACGACTGCCAAGGCTTGCCAAGGATTCTCCGGTGCATACCCATGTGGGCCTTGCCTCAACGTGCAGATCACCAGCGATGATCCTCGAACCACTATTCATCTGATAGTGATCTAGTGATTGCGAGAAGTGTACCTCGGATATCATGTCATTGATAATACGGGTTTAAAGGTCTAGACTCGTATCCTATAATATTGAAACAGGCTCATGTTTAGAGGGTATATAAGAATCAATCTGTAATAGGTTATACCTCAAACCTGGTAGAATCACTTAATATCGAGGCAAGCAGCACGGGGCCACAGACCCTCCGAACTGTGTATATTCATTACTGGATGGAGAATAAGATCTTCTCGAAGAACCAGACTTCAGGCACCCAGCCGATCAAACTCGACGAGGGCCCGACTGTAATCTCTAGCCTGAGGGTCTGTGGGTCTCCATGCGAGAATGCCTATCAATGCCCCCAATTATATCATTTGCAGCCTTATGTACACTTGGTAGGACCAACCCTTGACGTATCCATCAACAGAAATTGAAGTTTTGTACTCCGTACTGTCAGATTTACACGCAGGATAATCAATGGGAAAGGTCAAAGCGAATGATGGATGTTTCACCATCATCTTCTTCAGCTCGATGGGATATGCCCTCCAATGAAAGCGGTTACTCCATGGATCCAGACCAGGACTGGAGACCAGATTGCCCTATGGGTCGGAGTCACCTTAGTCTTGACCCATTTTGCCCCGTATGGAGAAAGTGAACTTGGAGTTGGGTCCGTGAGGTATTTCCAAGTTTGCCGGTGGATTTTGGGTTTTTTGGAGTAGAATGCATAGCCATATAAAGCTCTGCTAACCCCTTTTCCTGTGGGATCGTGAGAGATCTCGTGAAAAGTCTGGTGAATCTTTGTATAGCAGAGAAATTCCCGATTGGCGATACACAATGGCGGATCTGCCAAGATGTTCGTAAGTTTCAATAGCCCCGTGTTCTTTTTGCTTCCAAGTCTGCTTTATCGAATGGTTTAACCCCTCTCCACGCCTTATATTACATTGATTTTGTGTTATCCAAATTTTGAGTCATTTGCACTATTTGCTGACATTCTGGAAGCATTTTGGAACAGCTTCGTCGTCTGCGGAGTGACGCCTCCCACCCAGACTCTCCCCATATCTCTCTCAAATCTCCTTTCCTCACACTCCAGCGAATGGCCCACCCGCGAGCTCATTCTTACCTTCCAAGATATCTATAAATCCCTTCCAGAACCTGCCAAAGTCGAGAACAATGAAGCAATTCGTCGTCTCCGGATACAGATCAAGGAAGCTACCCCCAGTATCGCCGAATTGATAGGAACCGACAACCGCGCCGGCTTCATCGATGCCAGTACAGGTAAAAACCTGACACATCTTGCTATCCGCCAATTTGTACAAGGTTTCCATATCCCTGTGAGGTCTTCCTCCAATGGAAAGCCTCGAGTGGCTGTCATACTGCCTAATGGACTCCTCATGGCAGTTGCGGTTTTTGCCTTCGCTAACAGGTATACAATTGTTCCCATGGCGTCAAATACGGTGCCAGAGCAACTGCACATGGATGTTGAACAAGTGCAAGCTGATGCGGTTGTCGCTTTGGAAAATGATATTGAAAAGTTGAAACTAGACAACGGTGTTCGTCCAATATTTGGACTTGAACAGCTGGAAGACTTGACTTTTCGCGTTGTTTCAGAAAAGCACAATTCAACTACATCAAGTCTTACGCCAAATGTTGGGGATGACATTGCAATCATCCTCTTTACTAGCGGCACGAGTGGCAAGAAGAAATTGGTGCCAATCACAACCTTTAATCTCATCGCGGGTACGATCGCTACGATGGAGTCTGTAGAACTGTCTGAGAAGGATACTTGCCTTAACATGATGCCGTTAAACCACGTGTATGTTCCCCGCCCATCTCCCACAATCTATAATATCCATACTAAACAACACCAGTGGAGGTATAATGCGCAGTATTCTTTCTCCTATTCTCGCCGGTGGGGCTACCGATATGCTGTCCGTCCTTCGACCCCAGCATGTTCTGGGATGCTGCGCAATCACCCACCATGACCCCTACATGGTACTACGCCACGCCGACAATGCATCAGATGATTCTTGGAGAAGCCGAGCACCGTCCTGATGCTGTTCGTCAAAGTGCCATCGAGTTTATCTGTAACGCCGGCGGTGGTCTACCCCCAACGCTTGCTTTGCAACTTCGTGAAGCTTTCAACTGCTCGGTCCTTCCCAGCTATGGAATGACTGAATGCATGCCCATCGCAGCACCACCAAAAAACTACACTCTTGACCGTCCCGGTACATCTGGACGAATCGTCGGTCCCGAAGTTGCCATTTTAAATGATGGAAAACCAGTCTCGGACCGCGGGACTCTCGGACATATCTGCGTTCGTGGATCACCTGCCTTCGAAGGATATCTGACCACCGAGGGCGAAATTGATACAAGTGCTTTTAATGAGGCTGGTTGGTTTGACACCGGTGATCTTGGATACCTTGACCCCGAGAACTACCTTTACATTACCGGTCGGAGCAAGGAGGTCATCAACCGTGGTGGTGAAATCATTTCTCCCGTCGAGGTGGAAGACGCAGTTCTCACTGCAGCCAAGCATCCCGGCTCTCCGCTATACGGTCGCGTCACTGAGACCCTGGCCTTCTCTGTCCCTGATGAAGTACTCCAGGAGGTGGTGGGAATTGTTATTGTGACGCCCCCAGGCACACCCAGGCCAGATATCCGCCAGCTGCACGAATCGCTACAGCCTGTTATTCATCAGCCCAAGTGGCCCGCCTTAGTGGTATATATGGATCGTGTGCCTAAGTCCAATAACAAAATTCAGCGCATTAAGCTTGCCGAGCGACTTACACTGGAGTCGTTGACACCGAAGACACCCCTCGGAGATCGTCATTACGAAGCTGTCTGCCCACCCAACGGCACTCCCTTGAGTACTTCGATTTCAAAACAAAAATGTGCTGTTGACCGCAACACTGTTCGCTCCACTTTGGGAGAGATTGCTAAGGACTCTGAAGTGCATATACAAATCAACGAACGTGATGGATTCGCCCAAGCTGTTCTCTTCGTCGACAACCCGGACAACTATCAATTCACTCCTAATGTCCTTCACGAGCAGCTTGATGGCTATCTTGTCCCCTCCCGCATCACTACTCTGAAGGGGCCCATGCCCCTCGACTTCTACGGAAAACCTGACCAGACAGCCATTGACGAGGCTATTCGCGCCCAAAACTCAGATGGTAGCCTGTCACCCATCCAACGTCGGATCCGCGAAATCTTCGCTATTGCCCTATCTTGCGCACCAGAGGAGATATCTGCCATGACTGACTTTTTCACCGCTGGCGGCGATAGTCTGAGCGCAGGTCGACTTGTTTCGCAACTCCGACGTGAATTTGGGATCTTTCTTGCTGGGGACATTCTCTTCCACCATAGCACTGTCGGTGAAATTGAGTACAAAATCACAGAAGCCGTTCAGATCAAGGCTGCTAAAGGCGACGAAGGGGAGATCGAATTACCCGGCTGTGAAAAGACATACAGCAGCACAAACCCGCTAGTTATGGTCTTGCATCTTTTCCCCGTTCTTTTCTTCTTCCCAATGAAGCGTGCCTTCCAATGGCTTGTCTTCTCGTATGTCGTTGCCGAAGGCACACTGCGCTTTCCCATTCGCGATTTACTGATTGGTCGATTGATTTTGATTGTTCTGGCTGTTTTAGCTGCCCGTGTCAGCGGTCAGATTGTGACTCCCATCTTCACGATTCTCTTCAAGTGGCTTGTTGTCGGCCGCTACGAGGAGGGTATTTACCCTATGTGGGGACCGTATCACACTCGGTGGTGGTTGACCCAGAAGGCAGTGCAGGTGTTTGGAAAAGGAATGTTCAATCACTTTAATTGGTCTCGCGTGCTGTTCTACCGTCTGCTTGGCGTCAAGATTGGTAAAAATGTCACCATACCCCCATCTGCCAAGCTTGGAGAGTATGACTTGATTGAGATTGGTGACAATGTCGTGTTGGATACCTGTCAATGCCGTCCCTTTGCTGTGGAGCGCAACACATCCATGCTGCTCAAAAGAATTCGCATTGGTAGAGATTCTTCCATCGGTCTTAAGTCAATTCTCGCCCCTGGCGCCGATATACCGGAGAACACCTGCATCGGCCCCAACTCGTCAAGCTGGGAACTTCAAGATGCCGATGAGTCAAACCGGGATTTGTTAAGCTCTAGAATTCCTCAGCCACATTGGATATTTGCCCTTCTGGTTGTTACTCCCATCCAAATTCTGGTCTGGGTCGCTGCCCGTCTCACATGGATGGGTGGTCTTGTACCGATGGTGAGGCAGTTCCCGGTTGCCCAACCTGACATGTTCCTGGCAACTCTGCAATGGTATACCAGTGGCCAGCGAATTGGCTTCCACATTGCTGCAAGGATCTGTCGTGCTATTGGTGGCCCGATCGTGCTCTTCGCATCAATTCTGATCATCAAATTCCTGCTCGATCTTATCTGTGGCAAGCCCAAGCCTGGTCCTGCTTCTAAGCAGAGTACTTTGCAGAAGATTCGCACTGGTGTCCTAGCAGAGATTCTCCCATCTGGGGATATTCATGAGCTTACCCGTCTAATCGGTCGTCACTATGAATTAGTCTCGATGGCTATCCGTTCCCTTGGTGGCAAGGTCGGGAAGCGAATCTATTGGCCCAGTGTAGGCCCTTCACTCCCCGACTTTGATCTCATCGAAGTCGGAAACGATGTTGTGTTTGGATCCCGTTCGACCCTTATCACATCGGATGGCTATGGCCGTGATCGTGTTGTTATTGGTGACGGTGCCATGGTTGGTGATCGCGTGGTCGCTTCCCCTGGGGTCACAATCGGGCGTGAGGCAATGATCGGCTCCGGGGCCTTTCTTCGTCGGAATGGCGATTATCCAGCGAATACCATCTGGACCGGTAGCAAAGGTGGTGATGCTGTGCAATTCCCAACTTCGTCCTCGGTGCCCATTTCAACTGCCCCTACTGTTGTTGGTAGCAGCAGCAGTAGCACCGATGGCGATAGCAGCAGCGACAACGAGAAAGGCATGGGAAAGAAGACTCAAAATGAGAAGCAGACCGTTCCGAATATCACCGAGGCGGATACCTGCAAGCCCTTTGGTCGTGCTTTTTACCGGAAGGATTCTAGTTACTATGTGCTACGCATCTGGCAGATCGTCATCTATTCTGTCCTGTCGGTGGTTGTCGTGACTGTTTACTGGCTCCTGAGTGTAGTATTTGCTCTGCTATGTCTCCGGGCCTGTCTCGAGCATAGCAATGCTACCGGACTCGATATCGGAGCTTGGCGGCCATTTGTCTTGTATGGCATACTGGCCAGTTTCTTATCCGCCATCAGTTGTGCCCAGGCCTTCATCGCTTTGGGCGTTGTCATATGCGTCAAGTGGATTGTCATGGGCCGTCGCAAGGAGGGCGAATACCACTGGGACAAGAGCAGTTATAACCAACGATGGCAGTTCCTCCTGTCATGCGAGACACTCATCAAGGACTGCTATGGCGGAACCGGTCTCCTGCCTATGATTACGGGCTCGGTCTATATATCCTGGTATTACCGCCTCTTGGGTGCGAATATTGGAAGAGATTGCGCGATCCACGCCAATGGTACGCCGAACGTCTACTTTACCGAGCCTGACCTTCTCACACTCGGTAACCGCGTGGCTGTTGATGATTGCAGCTTGGTTTGCCATCTGAACTCTCGTGGCGAGTTCGAATTACATACTCTGAAGGTCGGCGACCGGAGCATTTTGCGTGCTGGATCCCGCTTAATGTCGGGGGCTTCGATGGGACAAGATGCTTGTCTGTTGGAACATACTTTGGTCCTGTCGGGTGACCATGTAGAGGATAAAAGTACACTACAGGGATGGCCTGCCGAAGGGTTTGAAGGGAAGCGGGTATAAGCTTGAAACTTTGAGATAATTCCTTATTGGTGATTTTATGTAACAGCGTTTATAGAGTGTTTATGTTCTGATGTATCTATTTATTTAACCCATATGTTTATAAATGGAGAGTTCAGTTTGCACATAGTTTCGATTTTTCTGGGAACAATGTAGGCATTCACTGATTTTTGTAGCAATCCGCACCTATCGCCTAACCAAATACTATTTCCTTTTTGATAGTATTACATGCTACGAATACGTTATTGTGTGAATTTGGGAGTATGCTGCCAAAACTAACTTTTCTTGTTGGATGTCTAGGTAGCGGTCATAGTAATGACAGTGTCCATGGTCCCTCTTATGAACATTAGAACTGGCCAATTAACGTGTTTCATGGGTAATCCGGCCACTCAAAATACCATATTAAAAGCCATAAATTATAATTCGATAGCTCAACAACCATACTTTTTTCGGCCTATATTTTGTCAGATATATCTATTACAAGATATAGAGTAATGTATCTTAGTTTTAATTAATATTATTGATTTATGTATCTGGGGATTACTATTAAATACACTGTAATTTGTGTATTTTATCAACAGAGAGATATTTCGCGCGGTATATATATCTAGACTATTTTTTCCTTCGGTTTTTGTGAAAAGGGTATGATAGAGATTATAGAACTTCAATATTTAGCTTTGATTTATAATCTATCGCTTTTAATATAGTGTTTTGGGTGGCTGGATTACCCATGAAACATGTTAATTAGTTAATCATAACCCGCCAACTGTGGTACGGATGAAAAAAAAAAAAAAACAAAAAACAAAAAACAAAAACCAAGCACCGAGAGCGATTTGAACGCCCGACCTAGGACACTGCAAATCCTCGCGCTAACCCCTGCGCCATCAGTGCTGTAGATGATGTTTTTTGGCAGGATAATTTAGCTCTAAACTAACAAATATCAATGGCCTCTTGAATGTTGTAAGTTGGCCAAACTGTATCTGTACAGGGGTGGGTGTCAATTTCCGGTATTACAACCATCGCCATCATTGCCATCGATGATGATAGAAAGATCGAACTGTATGTTATGTTAGATCCAATCCATAGAAAGCCCTAAAGAACACATACTAGTAATTTTCCGCTACCCCAATATCGCATTATGGACCCTGCCTAGGTGTATTGAATGATTCCAGGGATGTTACTCTGTATGTCATCTAACCAATGGTCACTTAAAATACAAACTGCCTGTAGTTGAAGCCCCTGCCCTCTCGCTCTTTGCTGCAAAAATCCAAGAGCGTCATCCATGGGTCGTACCTATGCAAACTTGAATATGTAAGGAGAGCCATGTCGGTGACCAGTCAGCCAATCTAAACGTAATATTATACGATAGTGATTTTACTACTAGCCCAAGTCTAGCCAATGTCAATGGTCTTCCAAGCCTCCGAATCTTTTTGTTAATAATGTGATTATTGGTTCATCCAGAATTATCTACTTTGTCCTCCGTACGCGCTGGTTGATCAAATTCCCTTTACATGCGGAATGGGTAGTGTATTCAAGTTATACGGTCTTTCCTTGCCGACCATTCCACTCATGTACATACCATTGTTAGTTCGTGATAAATAAGCTAATAGGGTCTCATACGTAATAAGTCCAGCATATCTAGTGTTATGACATATTGCCTATCCTTGTCATTTGAGGACCAAGCTGCATGCACCCCACCTTTAATGTGGGTACCACGGGCTTCTTAACCTCATTGTAACGAACTGGGGTTGTTACCATTCGCGGATGCCTGACTTAGATGGCATCCACTTAGGCATCCACGCCTACATGTACTTAGTTCTATCTCTCCTTCCTCTATATTCTCCTCAAGCTATTACTTTCATTGAACCACTACTGTTTCATTACTTCGTATACTACGCCGTACGTTGATCTGTGAGTATCTGAACATTCTCACATTATAATAGCTTCTACGCTCAAAGCCCTGAGTTACTGTACAGCACGCCCTAATACAATCACCTGCTAGTAAGCTATATATAAGAGACCCTAGTAATTCCTCTGTCAGTTTATCTCAGAGAGACTACACAAGCCTTACACATACACAAATACTGTAAATATTCACCATCGGCCATAGTAGAGAATCCTCTAAACTAATCCCCCCTAATCAAACCTTACTTCTGTTACTTTACCACTATATTGTCATCGCCCTAACATCGTTACTTTCTATTGATTCCATTGATTTTTTATCTCTTTCTATCCTCTTTAATATAGATTTTAACCTTAGTCAGCTCCCTACTATACTCAGTAGACTCTAATCCTCAGTTCAGCAGTAAAACTCTCAGATCAGCTTACTTCAGAATCAGCTTCAGTTAATCTATTAAGAGTAGCAAACCTAAGCTAATCTGCTCCAAGTATATACTCAGCTTATTGCTTAAGCTTAACCTTATACCCCTTAGTACCTAAAACCTCTTCTTCTAGATCCTAAGAAGTTTACTAGTACTACAGTTAAGTTCTATAAAGCCTAAGACCAAAACTAGCCTAATATCGCTAAGATCTTAACCTTCTGTAAAGGTCTTAATAATAATATTTATAACTAATTAAACTAATAGTTTAATCATCCTCATACCTATACTAAGTTTATTAGAACTATTCAGTAACTTATAAGCTATACTGATAGTAATTGTTTCTCTAGTATACTTAATTTAACTAAGCCTAGTAATAACTATAGTACTGATAATAGTAATACTGATAGTAGTAGGGGTAATAGAAATATTGATAAGATAGATATTGGCTTCTTAGAATAGGATAAGGACGAATAAAAGTATTGTAATGCTGCTTTTTTAAGAGGGGGATAATATAATAAACTAGGGTTATTATTATTTGTAGATGCCTGATGTAGATAGCGTCTACTTAGGTATCTACACCTATATATACTTAGTTCTATCTTAGCTTCCTCCTTCTTCTTCTCCTTAAGCTATTACTTTCGTCGAACTGCTACTGTTTTATTACTTCGTATACTACGCCATACGTTGATCTATGAGCATTTGAGTATCCTCACAGTAACGAATATTCAGAACCAAACGTACCATAACCCTGCTAATTACATCAGCTATCTCTTAGCTTTGGTAAAAGTTTCACAAATACTAGTCACACAACAGGCGGTCAAACTTACAGTGGGTAGGCAAATTAAACATCCTGGTGATGCTCTTAATAAGATACGTAAATATTTCTTAGTATATAGGGTACAGGCACCATTTAGATAGATTACTCGGCTACGTACATATGGCAAGAAAATTCAGAGCACGTCTACTAGTCTTAGCTATCTTATCTAGAGTATTAATCGATATTCACTTCACTACTCGTCTCAAACCTCAGGAATTCAAAATTCAAAAATTCAAAATATGGACGGTTAATATATAGCTGTAATGAAATACTTTGTGAGATGAAAGAGCTTTAGTAATGAGTTAGTTGCCGTTAAGGTTCCCAATTAAATAAGATAGGACTTATAAATTCTCTGTGACATATCTGCATCAAAGTGGCAGGTAGTATCTTTAATCAATTCATGCTAGATCAAGCAAAGCGTATAAATTGAATGTTTAGCACCAATTAGGTCTAGAAGAAGCAATCTGTGATACGAGATTGATTGATTGAGTAGAAGTTATGAGGAAAAGTGTAAGTTGAAATACCCTCTGAATATGACGATACTCGACGGTTACAGAATCGAAGTTGCAGATTTGAACAACCCACTATACAAAATATAAAGAAATGTGGTCTGCTCTGTGATAAATCAGTTGCTAGCGGCAAATTACCAGTCCATGCTCTGATTATTCATCCTAGAGCAAGGTCCCTCATATTCCCTTCGATAAAGTAATAGATAACTACCTAATATCCGTCTGCTTTCTCCCTCAAAACTTACCATGTGGAGAGGAGGACGGGCGGACCAGTGCCCTCCCATTAGTTAGAACAGCTTTCCCCTTGACATAAGTAACAAACCGAATTTCCTCATACTCATCCTGAAACGTCCCTAGTTTCCAGATTTTGGTCACTAAGACGTCTCCCAGTCGCACCGGCGAGGAGAAACGGGCTGAGAGTTCCCGCAGGTTGGCCGGCCTACTCGCTCCAACCTCTTTCAACACTGCATGTGCGGCACAGTTATAGGTATATAAGCCATGCATGACAGGGCCGCCGAAACCCAGTGATTTTCCGGGCTCCCGCGTCACATGAAGCCGGTTATAGTCTCCGTTCAGTCTGAAGGGTGAAATTTTAGACCAGTTCGAGACTCTTGGGGGACAATATGCCAGGAACTCACCGATATATCAACGCCGCGTTGGTAGGAACTTCGTACATATGTTGAGCGTCGGGTGCCTTGTCCTTTGGAGGCGGATAACTTGGCAGCAGAGGACCTATAATAATTAGAGCCTTGCATAGCCGCACATTTTCGACCTTACCGTTTGGTCCACCCCAATTGCCCTGACCCATATAGTAAGTCAAACCAACCATTCTCACATACTCTTGCCCGGTCTCGGCATCGACGAGGATCTTCTCGTCTTCGATGACGCTACCAACACTCCTCGATCATACACTCCAAGAATTCTATTCTTAAGCTGAAACTGTTGATTCGCGGATGAAGAAGGAATCGGCCGGTAGAATGTGATAGTTCTGCCGCCATCAACGATGTTGACGGATCGGAAAGTCGGAGCCCCGGGGATAGTGGGTGGCTGGAAGCGAGCGCCAAAATCCACAATTTCTTGATCAGTCAACTTGAACGCTATTTTCCATAGCATTTACATTAGCACGTCCTGTTCCTGGTCCCGGACAAAGTTCTTACGCAAAATGGTAGGATATGTCGGAAAGGCCTCGAAGATACCATTTTGCTCCTGTAACAATTAGCATTCATGACAAATTCATGAGGGCGGGGTCCGTACGAAAACGAAGTTAAGCTCATCAACGCCTATGCCAATACTGACGGCGAAGAGAAGTTGATCACGTGTTAACCATGAAACATCCTGCGTCGGAAGTTGGTAATTTTGCGCGGCCATGATTCTGGGCGCCTATCCTGGTCCGAGTCTTGGAAGGCAGTCACAGGAGCTGATGCGAGAGGTGCTGTAATACATTTATATATAGTGGGACACGTGCCAGGCATTTTCCTTTTTACACACGTTGAATCTGTGTTCACCAAAGGTGTGCCTGTAATGGTAATAGCCGGTGTGCAAGTCTTCCGAGCAGGAGGATGAATATCCGATCTGTTGCCGGGCGCCTCCCGTTGGACCAACTATGCAGTACCGAGGTTGACGTGCTTCGTCCCGCGATTGCGCTCGAGATCTTCCACCGTGGCTGGCCGCCTGGATACGTACGGGGAGCGAGCGCGGCGAGAGAGGCAAAACGTTGACGACTTGGCCTGCACCATCCCTCGGCCTGAGTCGGCTACCTACGTTATGTTGACTATTCAGAAAATCAAAGCTACGTGACCTCGGTACTTTTAGGCCCAATTGCGTCATGAGACGTAACTACAGCTCCTACATCACTTCTGCGCATGCCGGATAGACAAAGAACAATCTCCTTGATCCCATGAATTATCATCTCTAGAACGTGGTTCATTAGTCCTAGAACCGATTTCTGTTGCACTCCTAGTTCGTTTACCTTGACTGGATGGTTAATGGAGTCTACCATAAAGGCTTCCTGACGCCTGAACGGGGGTTGGAGAAGAATTTTAAATGGCGGTTTAACAGCTGAAATTTTCACCTTGAACCTCTTCTGGTGGTATAGCATCCGCTCAGTGAACAAAGGAATTGCCTATTCCACAGCCCGTCTAAGGTTGGCGGAGGAAGATCGGGATATGTGGGCACTCAGGGCCCGGGGCCCGCGTCTCGGCCCTCGGAAAGATGGCTGTGGCGACGGAAGCAGCATACACTCCTTTCGGCTCTAGGGGCTTTACACGCTAGCCTCATTGTCACCGCAAGCACACTCTTGGCGAATACAGACAGGACGCCTGCGAAAATCATGAATCTCCGTCACGTGTGGCACACTACAAATAGAGTCGAGGATTTCGTTCGTCTCGAATACCTACAGGGTACGCATCCCTTGCTTCAATACCCCGCTATTCAAGTAAGTAAAATAATAATACTCCCAGAAAGACACCTAAGCAGCCTATACAGCAAGTGTCTATCATCTGTCTAGATCATGGTGCGAGCATCCTGTCAGCTAATATCCTACGCCCAGCGCCATCATGTCTGAAGTCAATGTCGCGGCAGTCCTCTACCCCAAGTCAGAGAAATTTGACGAGGTCAGGAAAACCTCTTCCCTCTTCAAAATTGGTATATTCGCAATCTAACTCTCCTTCGTACGATTCAGGTTGCCGCGCTCGTCACCGAGGTCACGAACAAGGTGCAGGAGCGCGAACCAGACACCCTGCTCTACTTTGCGATCAAAGTGCAGAACAGTACCGAGATTGTCATCGTCGAGAGGTAAGCAACCCTAACTATATTGCTTTTATCTCGACATACGTGACCACATTTTCACCGTCGCTTTCCCACGCCTCGCTACAAGCCCCAAAACCAAACGCGCCTAACTAGGCTCAGATATAAGAATCAAGCTGCCATCAAAGCACATATGAAGGCTCCCTACTTTTGCGACTTCTCCGCCAAGCTTCCCGAGTTATTGGCTAAGCCGGTGGAGCTACGGTCAGGTGGATTTCTGAATGGCCTGCCAGGGGTGTCACGGTTGTAGCGAAGCACTATTTTATACATACACTCTAGCTACTAGCATAGTGACGAGAAAGAAGCAGCATCATGAGCCGTCTGGGCGGAGTGCATAAATTATACATAAGAAGGTGGCAGGGGGACCAGTTCAGGAGTGGCCGCAACGCTGGCACCAAATAAACTGTGCAATACTTTTGTCAACTGTTTCCCCTTGTTCTTTCATTCGGTTAGGTAAATAAGCCTTGCTTACCGCTGACGGCTTGTATGGAAGACATTTGTTACGCAGTACCCCACTATTGCTTGAAGTAGAGCTACGTAGTAAAGAGAGTGAATGATAAGATGTGTATAAAGCTAAGATTGGAGACTAAGCGTCGCTTAGGTATGAGATCTATCCAGATTGGACTACCTAGAACCTGTCAAACCTGTCAACAATCCCCTGAGATCCCAGTCTCGGTTCCAGCACATGCAGAAAAGAGACGAATCCCGAATCCTAGGTGGTTGAAATATTGAGGTAACAAGAATGTCTTTGGTATGGTGTTTTGGGGTGAACAACTCGCTTGTGTGGCCTGCTCGCGCGTAAATTACGAACGTTAGCTGAACGGACAAACCATCGAATTATAGATTAGATCAAGCTTCTGTTTACGTTTGATACAGTATGAACTTGAATGCATATTGGCGGATAAGATCAAGCGGAAGCAGCATCAGATGAATACGATAGTTTGTCAAGCTATGGGGAACGTCGAAATAAACTCCTGAATGTCTCTGGTACTCGGATTACGACATCCGAGTTACCAGAAAACCGTAATTGCCATACAAAACATAAGAAATGTAATTAATATGTAATATTATGTTCTGGTGGTAAGTTACCGCGCTATTTTCCTCGATAACTTCCTCTCTAGGGAAGTTATACAGCAACGGGCAGGCAGTCTCCCGCGCGCCCACGAGCTCTAATGAGCAGGCTCTACGTGAAGTGCCTCCTACGGGTGGGCTGTGCCGAGATTAATACGTATTTATCCATTGCTGGAAAGAACGAACAGACCATACAGCTCATTATTGTAACAGAACTGTAATGTAGAACCGGAACACAAGCTTAATATGCCTAGGTTCCGGCTAACAGAAGGGTCGGAAAGGGCCGAGGAGTAGAAAAGCACTGAGCTATCGGGATCTTTCCACCGGAATACGGATTAGGGGCGGTTCGGTTCTCGGCCCCACACCAAAAAGACACTTCCGTTCCGAGGTTTGCCGCGATCTTATGCGATGTGACAAAAGGTTGGCCGGAATATTTCCTGAGAGCTGTAACATATGATCCGTTACTTTACTGCTCATAATTTGAGGACTAGTGAAAGTAGGTATATAAAGTACGTTTGTATCTGTACCTCCTTAAAACCTTTCCATCTCAATTTCATCTCAATCAGATCCTCGTTTATCTGCCAACGTACACGATATCCTGTCAGATATCATTATTCATTTCTTTGTGCAAGGAATCCTCTCACACCAACCGACAACCGATCGACTTATCAACTGATATAATGTCGCCCTTGAGCAGACCCAGGATCTTAGTCCTAGATATCGGGCTTTCCAGAGACACTCCAGACTCATGTTCTGGGGAGATACTCGAATTCACTCCAGACGGAGCCAATCAACGAGTTCTGGTACACAAGCAAGCGCTACCGGACGGCTTGGTAGTGGATGTTGTCCGTCAGCGCATGTATTGGACGTGCATGGGGCTACCGGGAAATCCTGACGGCGCCCTTTACTCCGCCAACATAGATGGAGCAGACATCCAGACGGTCGTTGCGCCGGGCGTGGTGAACACCCCTAAACAGTTGACCCTTGATACAGAGTCGGCGAAGCTCTACTTCTGTGATCGGGAAGGGCTGTGCGTATACCGCTGCAACGTCGATGGTTCCGACCTCGAGGCGCTGATCGCAACTGGCGAACCCGGCAGTCCACCAGATGGCATGACCTTCTGTGTTGGCATCGCCGTAGCACCCAAATTGGGCAAGTTCTACTGGACGCAAAAAGGGCCATCCAAGGGTAATCGAGGGCGTATTTTCTGCGCGAACATTTCCACGCCGACAGGACAGTCAGCGGCGTCGCGGAGCGATATCCGATGCATCCTCAATGATCTACCCGAGCCAATTGATCTCGAGATCGATGAGGCCTCGAGCACTTTGTACTGGACAGATCGGGGTGAGCTCCCCTGGGGCAACTCGTTGAGCCGCGTCCGGCTAGATGAATCTGGTCTACCGCTGCCGACGACGGCTTCTCCCCAAAAGTATGAAGTCCTCGCGCGACATTTCAGTGAAGCCATCGGCCTCAAGCTGGATTCCGAGCGTGGCGAAATCTATGTAGCAGACCTGGGCGGATCTATTTATCGCTGTGATATGGATGGGAAACAGAAGTTGAAGATATACTCTGAGGACTCTCGAGCTTTCACGGGGATCGCTCTGCTTTGACAGCCAGCGCCTCCAATTGATCTCTGGAGCTCACTGGTATGTGGATCTAATCGAGGTATACGGGCGGCAAATACCATTGATGAAAATGTTGATAGAGGACCGGTACATAGCTAGTCGAGATTGATTTTTGAACCGTGTTCACTTGACCAAGATATGCACACCATGGGATGATGGGGCGACGATGACTCGACCGATTATGTTTCTAATTCTGTATTGGAGTTGTAGGATAAATGATTTCCTGAAGGGATCGGGACAGAGTGCGGCCAGAGGTAATAATACCTGGTGACTAATTGCTTCGTAGATAGGGAACGCAGAATACTATAATCAGCTCTTAGTAGCCACGACTGATTGATCTAGAGAACAGACATCATCATGGTAGACCTGCTTACGATACGATATACGATATTTATCGCAATAATTTTAAGCCTGCGATTCGATATACGATACGATAAAACGATATCGTCAAATAGGATACATTGGGCTACGCGTCGGCCACAGTCGCGTGTCAGCCACGATCACCACCACAATAGCTCTTCAATATCACTATAACGCGCTGAATTGCTCAAAAATACAGTTAAAAAATAAAGAAGGCTTTGTTTCCTATCCAGGTCTAGTTCTAATGACCTCCGCGGCTATATATTAGCTACGGTCGTATAATGGCCACAAAGAATATAGTCTACTATGTATATATAGGCTCGCACCACCAGATATATATATATTGATCATGGAGGTGTGTGGTATTACAAATGGAGGTTTCTTATTGGCCAGGGCCTATAACTAAGGTCCTGTGACTAGGCTTGGCATTATCGTAACGATAAAATCGTATCGCAGCACTACATCGTTATCGTATCGTAAAACTGTCGAAGCGACGATACGATACACGATAACGTAACGCAAATTTTTTTCCTCTGCAATACGATTGCGATTGCGATAAAAACGACACGATATCGCAAAATTGCGATATCGTGAGCAGCCCTACAGACATGCGGGTGCTTGCATGTCCAACTGGAACTAGAAGATTCGAGGTTGGTGAGACTCGAGAGTCTACATACGAGCATTGACCTTCGGATAGCCACGTGACCCGCTTACATACTATATCCCCGCCGATTGTAGTCTAGCACGAATCATCATCTCGGAAGCGCGGATCGGCAGGCCGAACGCAGAATCCTTGATATCATCACGATTGTCCCCTTTCCCGCTTCCCCCGGTTCCGGCCCCCTCCCCCGCCTTCTCCCACCAAGTATTAGACTGCTCACATAGTGTGATTGGTAACTGTTGGCCGTTGTGTGATCATCATGGACGGTGGCCAATATCCTCCCATTCCACCAGTGCCCAAACGGCGACGAGTTTCTATTGCTTGTAACGTCTGCAAGTCTCGCAAGATCAAATGTGACGGGTTTCGACCAGGTGAGCCTATGCATAATTTCGTGTTTTGACGGGAATCGCTTCGTGCGAACTGATTGCATTCGTTCAGTATGCGGACCATGCGCCAAAAGACGACTGGGGTCTGATACTTGCGCGTACCGCCACGACAGCCGCGGCCTTACTACCCCAACGCACGAATAGTGAGTGATCGATTCATGAAGGACCTGAAATTAGACCGCTCATCAGAGACCAGTAGCAGATGCGCCGGCCAGGTCGATGAGAGCATGTATACGACCGTGAGTTATTGCACCCGTCTTCTGTCGCATTATTGAATAATCATCCACTCTTGAAAAACGATTCAGCTAGCTTATTGGGATGTCTGTTTACCTTGCTTCTGTCACCCAGGTAAACGGCAGTAGCGATCCTTCCGGGTTAGGCCAGGCCGGCCGGACGGAACGGGTCCAAATAACGGTAGAGAACTCCAGCACTCAGGCCGATCAGCTTTTCTTCACGGAAAGTGGTTCTCCTGCATTGGATAATACCGGAGCAAGGAGCATTGGGGCAGACAGCCTATTTCCTAGTGAAAACCTTGTTGGTGCGTCTGCTGGTATTGAGTTCCTGCGCTACGTCAAGGGTGCAGCAGAGGGTCGTAGGGCTGCGGATCCGAGGGACAGCGGCCCACCATTGAGCAAAGTGAGCCGAACTTTGCCTGAGACTACCACCATCTCCTCGAAATGAACGGCTGGAAAATGAAGCTTTTGTCCTTCCGATCAGGAAGACAGCGGATCGTTTGCTTCAAACCTACTGGGACTACGCGGATGTTATATTCCCACTGCTGGACAGGCCAGCTATTGACGCCGCCTATGAAAGCCTATGGAGCAATAGTGAAGGCACGCCAATTAATGAGAGAGTATTCCACTGTCTTCTGAATCTGATGTTTGCCATTTCGTGCAGCGTGGGAATCGAGTCGGGACCTCAATACCACTCCGCCCATGTCTTCTACGAAAGAGCCCGCAATCTAATGTCCTTCAACCTGCTGGAGGTGCAGCAGTTTGAGACGATACAGATTCTGTTGCTCACGGCGCTGTATCTTCAACACAACGATCAGCCTCAGCCGTTTTGCCACAGCGTCAGTCTGGCAGTCCATGTTGCTCAAGAGCTTGGGTTGCAATTTCCGGCGACAATCCACGCCTTGGCTAATCCACGAGATCGAGAGCTGGCGCAGAGAGTGTGGCTGGGGTGTATTATGTTGGATAGGTCTGAAATTCCTCGGCATCTGCTTTTCGAAAGCCCACACTCACATTTGCAGGACGGCTTCCATGACCTTTGGCTGCAAGCTAAAAATCTCTCAGGATGCTGCAAAAGAGGCTGTGCATCCCCACGGGGAGCAAGAACCCCCTTCATTGACACATCTGGGTCGTTCCATCAATATGGATGTCTACCTGATTTCTTGCCAACTTCACCATATCTTGGGTGACGTGCTGGAAGCTTTCTACATGGCAAGGAACAACTTCCTTACACGGGGGCAATCTGACGCATCCCCTGAATCGAGCCCCCGCGCAGCTATGACACCCAAGGTCCTTGCAAGCCTATTTCAAATCGAGGCCAGTCTGTGTAAGTGGCGAAATGGCCTGAACTCTATCATTCGGTCGGCGCCAAATCAGGATGATCACGGAAACGTGACACCGATTATACGCCAGACAAATATACTGCACGCACGGTCCGTAACTTATGTTTTCCCTTTGCAATTCTTCTCTTGCTAGGACTCTGGGGTGCAGTTCCATATTTCTAACTTGTCCAAGGTATTTATACACACGACTTCTCTTATTCCGGCCCTTCGTCTTCCCGGGCCGGCACCTCACAAATGCTTCAGAAGTCGATTTTGACGAACAATTAGTCAATTCAGTCATAACGGGCTGTCAAGTAAAGTGCACTCAGGCTGCGCTTGATATCATCAAATTTATTTTCGATAAGTCGACAAATCAGTCTAGGGCATCAAGTGTGTACGCTCTGCCCTCGGATTGGTATAACGTCTCATGTAAGTCGCAAGTAACAGTCCTTGGACTGTGTGGCTGAGTTCGACGCAGATGTATACATGGCCGCGACAGTCCTTATCGCGGCGCAGCTGTTTCCAAAAATATTGGAACAAATACCGATTGTCCAATTAAATGGGCACCTCCAACAAGCCTATGCTGTCCTTCAAGATCGCGAGCCATACACGGAAGTAGCTCGAAAATGTAGAAATATGCTAAGCTTCCTCCAGAAGAAAATATCGTCGCATCATGACCGGACTGGCGACGGCCACCGAGCGGATATGAGGCGGAGCCGGCCCTCATTTTCAAGGGACCTACAACCCGCAGAAGATATTCATCAGGCACAGACCCGGCAGACGGAGACCAGGGAGCGAGAAACTGGGGAACAAGAGACCAGGGAGCGAGAGGCCGGGAATCGTGAGGCCGGGAGGGATAACCTTTGTGAAATGGCAGAATGGCCACTTTTCTGGGACCAGTGGCCATTATCTCTCCTTCCTTTGGACGATGACATTCACTCTATGATGTTTGACTGAAAAAGAGTCCATTTACATTTGTTTAGGCTGTACTGTACAGCTGGCCCTAAATAAGTGGTTGCCGACCAAGATAAGGACAAGGGGCGAATAATAACGGAATGCCACCGCAATGCTTAACAGTCAAATAGGAATCAAGACACTATTGAATCGTGGCCGCAGAGGTCCAATCATATTTCATGATCTTATATTCTACATAAGGGATGGACTGGTCACTGGTAGTCCTCAATCAAAGACATTACAAAATACGTCATCCTTCGTTTCCGTGCAGGTAGCCGAGTTAAATTGACTACAATACTTACATTTGGTGATCGACAGCGGGCTGTCTCTATTCCCAACGGCCGACAGGCGGAGGGGGTCCTTGGCATCAAACCAATCTCATTAACTCAATCCACTACACCGTAGTTCCCTTACTATGACCAATATAAGATGACCCGCAATTCAATACCTTGTTTCTTTATGGCCCCAATGCAAATTATCGGTTGTTATTCTCACCTCTAATCTTCGGGTTTATATGCAAAATTGAGGATCTTCTTGATTTTCAATAAGCCTGATCATGTACGAAACAGATTCCGTATATTAAGCCATCATTTCCTCGGATGCGCCTCAATTCACAATGATAGTCTATCTTGTCTAAATCGTCAGGCTAACTACCGAAGAGCGTCAGGGAACCGCCAGGGATAAGCCAAGTAAATTCCCACTGTCAGCCTGTGTTTAGACTCGGGACGCATTCTCGGGTCGATCATCCAGAAGCGTTAGCAAATGCAATCGCGCCGGTGTTGTAACAGTATGGCTGCGGCGGCGTGATCCAACGCGGATTGACTTCATCGTTCGCATATTGAATGATAGGAGCCAAGATCTTCATATTGCGCCCAAATGCGGTATCGCGGAAATGGGCGTAAAAATCCTCGCTGTCGACCAGGCCTCCTTTCTTTACCCAGGCCTTCCAAAGCATGAACAGAAGATCATAAACGTGATGCTCCGGGGTCATTTTGGGGAAGGACCACATCTCCTGAATCTTGGCCACGACATCGGGCTGGTACAATCCAACCTCCTCCTGCAGCGTGAAAGTATTGTATGCCGTCAATGCTGCTGCGCCATAATAAGAGCCACCGAATTTGGCTCTATCGCGGAGTGCCATCAGGACGGCTACGAGGCTTACAGCCCCGGTCGACATATCCGAGATGGGCAGAGATGGGAGCACGCACTCCCCATTCGTGTAGCCGTAGGCGCGTCCCATGACATATGTGCTGCCCGCAGCAGCATCGGCAATCTGCTGCCAGCCCGGCCGCTCCGCCCAGCATCCGTCAGGCCCGAAACAGTTCTCGTCCAGATAAACGATCCCCGTCCTCGCGCGTTGGCCATGGCCAGGAGGTCGTCTAGCCCGAATCCTCTCCGCTCCAAGGAGCGAATCCGGTATCCCTGAATCACCACGTCGGCATCCTTCAGCAGCTCTCGCAGCGTCGCCTTGCCATCCTCGTTGTCCAAGTCCAAGTCGAATGTTTTCTTTCCAGCAGTCAAGGTAAACTGCAGCAACTGCAGCGCGGATTGGTCAGCACATATAATTCTACACACCGCTCAAATCCGCCAGCCAATGGTCCAGGGTAGTCAAATAGGGTACTTACAGTCAGATCCGCCAAGCTCTTCTTCTGGACGCGGATGACCTCCGCACCCAACGCGGCCAAAGCCTGCCCCAGAGCAGGCGCCGCGATAATGCGGGCCAGCTCGACCACTTTGATGCCGGCCAGTGGGCGTTTGTCACTGGTCACTGGAAAGGGGACGGGGGTAGGTCGGGCGTCTCAAGCTTCCTCTTGTAGTTGATGAGAGGATGGCGGGCGAGAACCTTCGCCATGCTGGTCTGCCGCCACGCCTCCGGGGTGTAGCAGGTGCAGCCGCACAGGCCGTGCTCTGTCATCATCATGTCGAGCTCCTTGGCTGAGTACTGGCTGACCCGCGATTTGATCAATTCATACGCCGCATCATTCGACGGCAGGCGTGCATCCGGGTCAATGCCCAAAAGTCGCAGTCCAGGGTTGGGGTCGTTCGACCCGTGCCATTGATACCATTCGCCCGGGTTCTTAGTGGGGTATATTGCCATCGCTCGATACTTAAGGGGCCCTTCGACAGCACCGTTCATGGTATCAGGGGCCAATTTATCCAACTGGCCGCTCTCTATGAGTTGGACTGCATCGCGGCCGTCCACTGAAAAGGTCACGGGCGATGCGAGATAGAGACCAGCCTGATCGGTGTTGATGGTCAACGCTGATCTTTTCTGGCCCCGTAGCTCGAGGATCTCCTGGCCCACGATACCGGCCATGGCGTGAATCACGGCGGTGACGGCCTGCGACTTGATTGGGCCAGGGATGATTGGGTAGTCACCTCCCACAAACGAGACCGAGTCCAGCACCGCGACATCCTGAGTGAAACCGGGGGTGGCCTTGACAAGGAGCTTCAGGATTCTCTTGCACTCCAGTGGAACCGGAGTGAATTTATCGTCGGTGAAAGTACCGGGACCGTAAACCCCGCGGGACGACATATTGATTTCTGAGGATGCTATTGAGGTATTGAAAGCCAAGAATACTGAGAAGGGATAGCCACTTGAGATGTGTTCAGTAATTCCATAGAGCGATGACTGGGGAGACTGCAGTATATATTCTGATATATATCGGACCACGATTTGTCTATTTTGGGTACCGAGGCCTGCCGTATGCTCGGAAGTTCAAGACCGGAAGGGCCCCACTTCCCGGTATTTTCAGATCCGTCGACAGTTGGTTTCCCGAAGATAGACCCGGACCGGCTCGGCAAAGAAGTTAATTACAGTTGACTAGGAAGGGTCCAAACTACGATGACATTAGATCACGCGCAAAGCCATTGCGGCCCATTTGCATCCGAAATCCGGGTGATGTTTCCAAAAGTGGGCTCATGTTCTAGTGCGTAACCCAGCTAGTCATGCTCGTTCCTGATAGTGAGAGACCAAACATAATGTCGGATCACGGGATATCCGTACGTACTAGTACCGAGACCCGATTTACATACAAAATCATAGTTAAGTACTTAGTTGACGAGTCAAGAGTGAGTAGTCGCTAAATCAATTACCTTAATTAGTAAGAATACCACCTCTGAGATCGACAGATTATTGCATAAATTTTGACCATCATGCATGTAGTAAGTCGTTCGCAGTTGTCGACCGTGAGGTCCTGTTTCCAACTCCATCGACCTTTCTCGTTGTGTTATAGGTTTAGGTAAATATGGTGTACCAATATCCGCAAGTACGCTCGGTACAATTCCACATACCCCAGAACCTTGCGTATCGATCTCGCGGCCTAGGCCAACCATGCCACCACCTGTCGGAAACGAGTGATGTCGTTCTGCCAACCCCGTATTTATGGCTACCGTATTCGATTTCACAGGTTTTCTTCATACATTCTTTCCATTCTATTTTAACCCGAATCGCTAGAATGCGTTTCTTAATCGCTGCTGATTCCAGTCGTGCTCTCTTTCATTGTCCGTAAATAACAGTACATGGTATGTATTTTTCAAAGTTTGTGATATATAGGCCAACGGGACATTAGTTTCGCACGCGTAGCTAGGCCGCCTCAATCTGTATGCCCCCCCCTGCTATACCTGGATAGCTAGAAACTTTCCGAGGCCATTTCCAATGAACTGAAACAATTGTTGGATCAGAGGTGTGTATACGCCCCACTAGGGTCTGCTTGGGTTGTTTTCGCTGGTGTTTAGTGAATTTAAGTTGACAACATGGTGTTCTGACGGATGTTTTACAATAGACGGAAAATTATGTAAGGCGAAGGTGTGGGGTCTAGGGTGCGAAAAACCATGTCCCGTCACTGCAGATACGGCAGTTCCGTAATTCTCTAAGACATCCGCTCCGTTGCTTCCTTCCAGCGCCGGTTTTCTCGTATCTCGGTAGATAGGGAAGTCGAGACCCATTCGTACTGATGCGAACACTCCCGGTAGCCGAGTGAAGGAAATCGTAACAGAATGAAAGGCAAAGGAAGAAAAGGGATGGGAGTATGAGAGCCGATTGGTGATTTGAAGACCCAGTACTCTTAGTAATGCATTGTTTCTCGGTGCGCACTCCGATTCGGAAGAGTGCGATTCATCTTTTGGTTTTCTCCAACCCGGTCCATTATATATGGCCGACGCGCAGGCCTGACCTTGTTCCTATGCCAATATTTCTCCTCGCAACTCTCAACAAGATAATACAATGGCTCTCCTGCCTATTAAAACCGTTGGAGTGATCGGGGCTGGTCTTATGGGCGCCAGTTGGACTGCGTTGTTCCTAGCAAAGGGTCTCCAAGTCATTGTGACGGACCCGGCTCCCGGAGCCAAGGAAATGCTTCACGATTTTCTCAACGAGCGATGGCCAACCATGGCCAGACTTGGGATCAAGCATGGCGCATCTTTGGATAATTACAAGTTTGTTCCCGACATCAGTGCATATCTCGGGCACATCGACTTCGTACAAGAGGTGGGGTGCTTCCAGGCTCAATGAGCGCTTCCAGAGCTTGCTAACCTGACTTGAAAACATCAGAATGGACCGGAAAGGCTGGATTTCAAGCGCAAGCTCTTTGCACACTTGGATTCCAACACCCGTGAGCATGTGATTCTGGCCTCTTCGTCTTCGGGGCTTCCATCGTCGCAATTCGTCACGGACTGCAAGAGAAACCCAGCTCGCGTTCTCATCGGCCACCCATTTAATCCGCCACATCTGGTACCGTTGGTCGAAGTGGTTCCGAATCCCAACACTGGTACTGCATACGTTAAGGCCGCCTTAGAATTTTATCGTGGTTTGGACAAGGAGCCAGTGCTTGTGAACCGCGAGACCCCAGGGTTTGTTGCCAACAGGCTTCAGGCCGCCCTTTGTGCAGAAGCCTACAGTCTTATTTCGAGAGGGATCGTCTCTGCACGCGACCTTGGTAGGTAGCCCTCTTTTGGACGCAATGCTATCATTGATACTGATCTGAGCTTCCTTTGATAGACAAAACTGTCACTTCTGGAATCGGCCTGCGGTGGGCATTGAATGGGCCGATCATGACTAATGTTCTCGGAGGAGGTCGAGACTTCAAATACTTCATGAACCATCTGGGGCCCGCGCTAAAAACCTGGTCGGATGATATGCGTGACCATGAATTCGATTTCAGTCGTGAGAAGATCGATGTCTTGGATAAAATCGTGCAGGAATGGGTGTCAACAGTTGATATAGACGGAGTGGAGAGAAAACGGGACAACTACATAGTTGGCATGATCAACAACGAGTCGGATGCTTCTATATAGAGTAGATATCTTTCTCTGTATACTCTAGTGCCAATTGGAATCGCTACCCACAATGCGTGTCCGGAAGTCGCCGCACCGCTTTACAAATCCCCGAGGGCCGACTCCAGTGACAGTGCCAGCAGTGGTGGTAGAATGTACCCCATTCGTTCCGAGACGTATGCCGGAAGATCCAGTTCCAGAACAATCAATCGAGCCCAAAAAATAAAATAGCGGAATGTGATTTATCCGCTTGTAGGAACAATAGAATGATTTCTCCAAGGGCCGTAGAGCCAGATATGGTTAATTTGGTGCTGGAGACGAACGACCTTTAAACTAACTATATATATTTCCAGCCGAGGCCTGGAACGAAAAGTCTTATCAGGTTATTGTGAAAAAGAATACCGCGCCCTGATTTCTTTGTGCTTCGTACACTACTAACCATACATTGATAACGGCAGTTGATAAAATGATAGCATTAGATTCGTAGTAAATCACTAAGAAACCCGCACCCCCAGCACAGATTAAGGCCTCAAGCGAACGGCCGGGCACTTATTTTTGCGTCTTACCTGGCCTAGTGGAATGTCTCCCGTCGGAGACCACAGACGCTCCAACAGTTAACTTCAAGCCACCAATTGGACATGAGGCGACGATATTTTCATTTTTCTGATTGGGGGCTTATCAAGGCGAAGTTAAATCATTCACAATTTGGGAGCCTTTAGGCTCCATTCCTAAAGTTCAATTGCAAGGTTATGGGCACGCCTTCCACCACTTCCTCAGGAGTACGGCGGATACTTTGTGGAGGGAATGAGTCTACAGTCTAATCGCATCTACCAAGTAGCACAGAGGCTTTGTTTTCTAAGCCAAGGAAGAAGCTACCACACGAAGTTGGCATCGATCCGTATATAATGGTGGCTATTTTCGCTTGATGATTAATTCTAAGGGCATACCGGGATATCTCAGAACTTCTAAGGTCAGCCTCTACCATTGTTTGGCTCCCGGTACTCGCATTTTTGGTCAGATTTGAATGTGAAGAGAGCCATCCCTCCTTGAAATGTTAATTGGTCAACGCAGCCCGCGGCTGAAGCGAGCCGTAGAAGTAACTACACAGCATCAACCACCCAAGCCCCGCGGTAGACGCAATCGAGCTGAGTAGGTACGTGGTAATCTACTCAAGTAACAGTGACGATCAACTGCCGCTTGTACATGCAACTGTCTAAGACATACCTACATAAAAGGTCGTAATAGGACAAACAGACATCATCCTTTTTACTCCGGACACCACCATGCTCAGCATTGCGGTGCGTCATTTAACCTTGTGGCTGCTCGTAAGCATGTATGCTTGGGAACATAACGCTGCCTAGCCCTGCTTTAGCTAACTCCAAGCCGTTAGGAATGGACGACAGCTTCGTGGCTCCTCTCCAGCAACTATACGAGCCCACTCTGCTAGAAGAGCTAGGATGCGCTCCTTGAACGATAGGGAACGGGCCGCACCACACACCACGGGGGCTAAGACTATAGAATCCATGGTACGCCTGATACCCCTATTTCGTAAAAGACACTCCGCTCAAAAAGCTTGTGAAACCCTAAGGCTATATACCTCTAGTATACTTCTTCTTCTAGGGTCAGCGGTAGAAGTTAGAGCACCTCAAGCTAATTATTTTGCTGTGGCATGTATCCATTCAACCAATCTTGAAGGGGATAGAAACGTCGTCGTTCTAGAGATATCCGGCTTTACAATTATCCTAAGATTCAGTCAATATGTGAAGGCTCTATATGTTTGTAACTTCATGCATGGGGCGGCCTCAGCTGTCTAAACTCTTTACCTCTATATTCTCTTTATGACTTATTTTGGTATGCCGCGGGTGGAATATTAAAATGCGGCAATCCATATTGCATGCGTGATGTACTTCAATAGGGTACTCCATTCGCCCTAGAGGTGCGAAATTGTATTCAATATGAATGCTGTATATAATCTGGACAAGAAACTACATATAACTATGGAAACTATATGACACTATAATTTACGGCCAGATCTCCCTCAATGGATACAGACCACTGTATTTTACAAGATCTGGCATGGATGTGGCTTGATTTGTCAGATGGTTATGAAAATTTCTTTCAGCGTTTATTTCTTCTAATATGAGGAGTTCAAGAGGTGCCAATTGTTTGGACCTAGCAAGGTTATGTACGGTCCCTAATTCTCTAGCAAAAATTATGAGTCTTTAAAAACTCTGCCTGAACAGCGACATTCTTGTCGAAAATAGGGCCGTCGTAGGGATCGAAATGTCCTCCAGGAAGAATTTGCAACTTCTTTGGTTCCTTTGCACGCGAAAATGCTTCAAGAGCAAGATCTGTCGGCGTTACAACATCATTATTCATAACAGTCATCAAGAGAGGAGTCGGTGAGATGCGATGGATGTAGGCACCTGGTTCATATGCTCGGAATGCCTCAAGGCTGTCTGATGGTTAGATTGGCCAAGGTAGAGCATGGACAACGTAGGCCTTTCTGATAATTTATTCGAGCTTACCTCTTCAATGTGACATCATTTATCCATCCAATTGCCTCTGATTTCATGTAGGCTTGATAGCTATCTTCGGAAGGAAGGATGGAAAGCTCTTGAAGATCCCTGTGCACTACAGGTATCCGGCGTGGCTCTCCGCCATTTGCACGAATCTGACGATCTATGCCACCTGTCAACCTCAGGTATATAAGATAACGCAGAAAATACTTACCGTGCTGAAACGCTTTGTTCAGATCAGCAATAAAGTCTGCCCGGTGTATACGATGGAAATTATCCCACCCGCTAGTGAAGGGTCTGATCGCATCAAGTCAGCTATATGAGAACATATGGGGCAGCTGAAAGGTATGGAGAATCGCGGGAAGCTGACATTTGACTAAGCACAACTTTGACCCGACGGTCAATTGCACCAACACATAACACGTGACCCCCGCTATATGAACTTCCCCAAATACCGATCTTATCAGAATGAACTTCCGGTAAGCTCTGGGCAAAGGTGATGGCATCTGAATAGTCACTGATTTGTAGGGCCGGTAGGATCTCACGGCGTGGTTCACCATCACTAGATCCGAGTCCACGGTTATCGTACGCCAGGCAAGCTACTTGTAATTTGGATGTAAAGTATCTCGCAAAGTTAGCCAGGCCCATCTCCTTCAACGCTGAGAACCCAGATGCCATGACAAGGCATGGCAACTTCTCTGCGAAGGACTTGGGGGTGTATAGGCGTCCGCGCAAGGTGGTTTTGTCAGACGTTTCAAATTCAATGTCTCTGAAATCCATGACTCGTATCTTAACTCTTTAGGAAGAGTAATAGGTTATAAATTGGCGGTAAAGAGAAAAAAAATGAAAGATGTACGAGGTTTTGAAAAGGGAGTAGAAGGAAAGAGAACTTGGGAAAGTAGTCTGGTTTATATTTCGATTGCTTTAAGGTCGTCCACTCGGGCAGGCTGTGATAGGAAATTACATATGAAGACATGTTATGTAGGAATTTAATAATGCAAGCAAAATTGCTCTAACAGTGGACTTTTATATGATTAGTAATATATGATTTTCACCCGAGGTTATGATGATTGAGATCATAATTCAAGCGACATTTGATTCGTCGGACGGAAGGACTGATAGGGTTTGATTAGAATTCAAGATTGTCCTGCAGGTATAGTATAGTGATAAACAGATTGACGAAATCTCTAAAGACATGGTTTTCGTCAAGTACCTTATCCCCCTTCGCCTCTGTGTGGTAGACGGGCATTATCCGTAATAAAAGGGTCCCAAAATGCCGAAGGCCCGCCTCTCACTGTTGTATAACGCCCCAAGAGCGTCTCGAGATAGATCTAACAATCTAAGCATCTCAAAAGGACAGTTTAATACTAGTGCGTACGAGTAGTGCATACGAGTGTCTGTCGATCTGTTAGATTTCTATAGTTACACCACGCGGTTCCGATGACTAATGAACTTTCTGAGAGAGTGGACCACTCAGATGCTGTAATTAATCATAATATACGTTTTAGATCGGCCCTCTCACTAGACAATTACGGTAACAAGTGAAGCTGTCAGCTATTTAGCCGAAATATGAGAAAATCATGATCGGAAGATCACTAATCTTGAATATCATCATCCGGTGTAATTCTGGGAAGGATATGCCGAGGTATCGGAAAGCCCTCCGGCTCGGTTACTTGTGGTGGCTGCTGATTTTGGGCATACTGGTCAAAAGTCGGCTCACTCTCGTCACTTATTAAAATCTATAAAAACCTGACTTCTTTCATCAACTTCACGCTATTTGCTATTACCTGCTGGCATTTGTTCAAAATCGGCGAATTGTTTCAGAATGCCTCTGTGGCTCATATTTCACCCTGCTGGTACCTTTGAGGACGAAGCCTCCCGGCATGCCCTTGCCCAAGATATCACAAAAATTTACACTAGAATTGGCCTTCCGGCGTTTTATGTAGTGGCAAACTTCATCAAGCTCCAGGAGGGCCAAACTTGGGTTGGTGGAGAGTTACATACCAGGAAGCCGTTTATTCGAATTGCGATTGAGCACATTGCCGCCCACATTGGGGATGAATTGCCGGATGATGCGCATGCTCGCACTAATTCCGTAATCGAAGCGGCATTGAAACCACATGTTGCCGACAAGGGATATGACTGGGAATTCCACGTGGACCAGACCGACCGAAGGTTGTGGAAAGTCAATGGGTTCAACCCGCCGGCTTTTCGCAGCGAAGCAGAAAGGCTTTGGTTTAATGAGAACCGTCCAGTTTTTTATGAGCCTGAGGCAGGTAAGCGCACGCATGCTTTCAACCACGGAGTAGAGTATGGTTCTGACCCGGGGAGGAGGCTGACAAAATTCATCATAGGATCAAGGAAGAACGCGACCTTATAAGAAGATGACGTCGATTATGCAAAGAAATTTGGGGGAATTATGTGGACTGCATTAAACTTGACAGGCCCAAGTGGGTGCAATAGGAATATACTTTAAGCTCATCTTGAAAAGAATCGGCTTGCTGAATGTGGATATTGATATTTAGTCCCTGTAAATTGTTAAGCTGTATGTCTTAGAGAGAATAAACTTGTGCCTTCGTAGATTGACTGTAGGTTTGGGCACGCGTAAGTGTATTTTGAAAGCTCGCTAGTCACAGAATAATCTGTGGTGAGGTTGGGCATCAGCACACGGAAGGGCTCTGGGACTTGCTAATTATTCTCGAGTTCTGAACGCTGTAACTTGGCACTCAATCTTTTCCATGCTAAGCATGTCTCTCTTATGCCTTGTACGACTCTACAGATAAAGAGAAGCCTAGTTGTTCCTCCAGGATGGAAGTGTTCCTGGGACATCTCAGGGTTTACTTAATAGTTAGGAATCCTGCCCACGAAATATTTCGCAGAATGGATTACGTAAGCGCCCCACAGATTGATTTTGATAGGTACCATATTCAATTAAATTGCTACCGAGGACGTTTACACAATAAAAAAAAAAAGTAGAACGTAAGCGTAATGAGTTTAAATAAGTGTCCTAAAGTATTTCAGACCTACTATTGGCGGATAATCCTGGTAATCCATTTCAGATCATGCTTGTTGTGGCCTTCGTTTTGGTCAACAAATGTTGCTCCACAGACATCTTCGCGCTAAAATCGAGTATGAAATCGTTCCATCTATTTGGATAGAGAAATTTCATGGCTTCCTCAACCTTGTCCGCGTCTTCAAATTTCTCCAAATACCTCTCAAAGGCCAGAATGTACTGCCTCGTTGCATCGATGAGGTACGGTCCGTCAGACTGAGACGACCTTTTATGACCAGGAACGACGATGCTTGGTTTGAGGGAGGCAATCTGGTCGAGTGCATCCAGCCATTTTTTCCTTTTATCGGTCGTATTAGCCTCGCCCAGATGCTGGAAGCATTCACCATAAACAATGTCCCCGGCAACGACCAGTTCGAGGCTAGGTACGTGTAGAAATGAGGAAAATTGCGTGTCTGAATGAGCCACATCGACGCCGAACAGACTATATCCATCAATCGAGAACTCCCCATTAGGTGGGAGAGCATTGGGCACGATCTGATTTTCCGATATCTGCTTGTTGGGGAACAGCCTGTTCCACCGAGCAAGGCGCTCTTCTGACAATTGATCGTTCTTGATTCCATTAACAACGAACGACGTTGCAACACATTCGACCCCAGGAAACTCTTCAACAATAACAGGATTACCAAAGAAATGATCTCCGTGAGCATGAGTCGTGTATATGTATCGAAGCTTCTTCCCGCATGCCGTGCGTTTCACCCATTCAGCAAGACCTTTTGCTAGCTCTGTCGTGGTCGGGGTATCGACGAGCACCGCGGATGTTGGGCCCTGAATGAGGGTGCAGCAGATGGGCGACCACATTGTTTTTGCAGGGTCTTGATGTCCAGTCACTGCTGGTATGACTGGCGCAACATATACATCGACTTGAAGTGAGTCTGACATGGTGAATTTTTCAAGTAAAATTCATATAATAAGTTTGAAGGCATATATCTCGATTTATTTCCGTGATTTGATCGGTTTAAATGTCGGTGAGCAGCGATGCTAGTCCACAGAAAGTACAACCCTGTCAACGGATTGTTGAATAATCATCTTGCCGATGGTAATTACTAATCCCATTTTCACTCCTTAGCTTGTTTATTTTCCTCAGAAATTTGATTACGTATACATACCTCTCACGCTATCTTGTAATTACCGTCCAGAAATAGCCAACTAGAAAGAGGAAAAACTGTCGTTGATGTTCGCCGAGCTCGCAGTTGATCTCACGCCTACATGGGAACATAGCTCGAAAGGAGTGACATGCGCGGTTGACCTCGGTACAATTTGTAAAAGATGAGCATATTATATCTGGCTTCGGATTTTCTAAGCCGAGAGGAGACCTCGGCACAGACGGAGCGGATTACTACGGGTCGGACAGCTTGCCTATAGGCATAAACGGACAATTCCGCGCCGTCCGTATAGATAGGTAGTATAGTGGACCATTATAGGATACAGGTACAGAGAACTGCGGAACTGTAGAGGCCGTAGAGCTCATGAAGCTCTCCAGTTCCGCTGGCTTGGGCTGACCGGACCGTCCCTGAGCATCTCTGAGACCCTAGTACATAATCCAGCTAGCCCTCGCTCGAATTACTCGTCGCCTGATTGGTTGAGCTGCCTGCCTTAGCCGTGCTCCTGTCCTCCTGAGGTGCGTCTAAGTAAGTACCACGCGAGGATTTTACTTTGAGGGTATATATCCTCTAACTCCATCCCACGGGGGCGAGGGGAATGCTATGCATTTGCTTTTAGGGTTTCCGCCTCAGTATGGCCCCACCGCTCCCTATACCCTAGTCCGTGTTCACTCAGGGGCTCAATGGTGTTCTTAGCCCGATGATTGGCCCGTCGTGTGTGCTCCCGACACCCCGCTCCGTAGGCTAAAGCAATCAGAGCTATTATATTCAGAGGCTTCGATATTGTTATTATATGAGAAAGATTTATATAGGGGTTTTCTAACCTCTACTAGAATTCTCTTCTTAACTGTATTTCTACTTACCTTACAACCCTACAGATCTTAGTTTTTTTTTTTCCTCTCTTAGCCTTCTACTAATACTGTCATTATAGATAATCTTATAGAGCTCTTCTACTATAAGTCTACTACTAGATCTAGATCTACAAAACCTACTAGTAGACTATAATTCCTAGTTATATTGAAAGATGGGAATGCTCAATGGCAGTCTGCACACTGCAGACAAGGGGAGAGAAACGAGAGAGACAATACCACACCTACAGGGTACACGTATTATAGAGGCTAGGCAGAACCCTAGAGGTAGTATATTCAGAGTATCCGAGCTCTGTCGCTACTAGTATACGTAATCTGCAATAAGAAACGATAATATTAACCTAACCAGTAGGTAGTAGTAAGATAACTATCACTAAGAGCTTATATACAAAATAGAAATAAGGCCTAAGGCCTATAATATTACCTAATATCACTAGAGTAATTCCCCTACTATATATTACCCTCTCTAGAACATTAGCTGTCCCTTAGCCAAAATTAAGAAATAAGGCTGTAGGGTATTGATTTCCTACAGAGAACTAATCCTTTAGTTAAAAATAAAGAAAACAAAAAAGCAAACAGAAAACCTAAGATAAACCTTTATAGTTATTATTTTATTATAACATAGGGTAGCCAGTATGTCTTACTCCTAAAACATAAAATACTAGGCTAAGATTCTATACTTGCAATTGTAACCTTGAGCTTATCTTCTATGTCAGTGATTTACTTCAAATTTAGTATTTAAATTTTATATATAGTCAAGTACCCTTGAAATCCTCTCTATATATTTTTATCTTCTCTGGTTCTTGAGCTGTATATCTACAAAGTTAGTAAATTATTGTTGATTTTGCTAAGATACAATAGCGGCGAATGGGAGTATAGAAAGGCCGTAATACAACTTGAGCAAACTCCATGATCGCAAACAATGCACAAAAGCTGGTTGTCCCTCATTTTTGGACCGTCATTGTACCTGCACTGAGAATCCTGGCCAGTGAGGGTTTAAGTGGTTCTGGGTAATACTTACACATATGTACATGCCAGTGTACAACTGCCACTAAGACTGTTTCCCCGTCGTCCAGGTCCCCTTCCACGCCACCCTTCTCGCGCAGCAGCTTAATAACCGCCTCATAATCTCTCCGTACCGCCAATGATAGCGGCGTCTGACCCCAAATGTCCGTAGAGTTGATGTTGGGGTTCTTGTCTAGAAGTATCCTCACTGTCGCCTTATGGCCACCCTATGTCGCAAATAATAGTGGCGTCCAACCCCGATCATCCTTAGACTCAATATTAGTATTTTCTTCTAAAAGCACCCTTGATGTCGCCTTATGTCTATTCTCTGCCGCCTACAATAGCAGTATTATATCTTTCTCGTTCTTAGATTTGAGATCAGCATTCTTACTAAGAAGCAGTTTCGCTATTGCCTCATGCCCATCCCGTGCAACTAATGAGAGCACAGTCTGACCTTTCTTGTCCTTAGACTCAAGATTAGGGTCCTTGCTAAGAGGCAGCTCCACTATCACCTTATACATATTCTGTGCCACCCATAATAGCAGTATCTAACTGAATAACTTGTCTTTTGACTTAAGGTTAATATCCGTACTAAGAAGCAGCTTAACTGTCCCTTCATGCCTGTTGTATACCGCCCATGATAACAGGGTCTGACCGTATATCTTGTCCTTTAGCTCGAGGTTAACATTCTTGACTAGTAATCGCTTCACTATCATATTATGCCCATTGCGTGCCGCCCATAGTAATGGTATCTGACCCTAATTATTTTCTGACTCAAGATTGATGTCCTTAGTAAGAAGCAGCTTCACTGTCGTCTCATACCCATTCTGTGCCGCCCACTATAGCGCTGTCTGACCGAACAACTTATCTTTAACTCAAGGTTGATGTCCGTACTAAGAAGCAGCTTCACCGCTGTTTCATGTCCATTTCACGCCGCCCACAATAGCGGCGTATTACTGCTGCTATCGACGGAGTTTGGTTCATACTGCCTGCTGAGCAGAATTTTCATGGATTCCCTCAGCCCGAAGTATCCTGTGAGATGCAACCCTGTCATCCGCGTTTGACTACAGTCCCAACTAACAAATCCCAAACGCCTGGATGCTATCATGGCCTGGCTACAGGCAGACACCTAAGCTTCGCTCTCCAGGAGATATATAATCAACTTTCCGCCCTCAATTGAAGATGCACGGGCACGATGTGCCCAGTTTCGCGTTGCATAGTCATAAAGAACATTTGACTGCAATCTCGCCTCAAAGTATTTTTCGTTCAGACTGAAACCAGTCTCGAAAGTAGCGAATGATAAGTAGGTAACGTATGTCTTTGTGATATCTGTCTGGGCATTAGGAAACCATGTGCTCCAGGTCCGCTCGAAATATTCCTGTGTTGTGTAGTGGACAAAGCGGATGATGTCACTTTTTTCGTCAACAGTGACTAAACCAGCGCATACGGAGACTATCAGTCCAATCTCTGTCAGATTACGCAGGTTAAGTGCTAAAGCACCGTCTGTAATAGCTAGAGCGTGCTGTAGCTCGAGGGTGACCAAAGGCCTTTTAGAGCATGTAATCCATGAAAGAACCCTAAAAGCAAGTTTCACGAAGCCCTCTTTCTGGCCCTGAATTCTCTTCATGGCTTCATGATATGCTTGCTGGTAGGCATTTGACCCTCTAGCAAAACTTTTCAAGGCAACCTCAATCTGCATAGGGGACACTTTGTCCTGTAAGGAATCCAGATGAAGCCTAGCGAGAAGAGATCTAAAGATATAATTAAAAAACATTTCCCACGAAACCCGGACGACAAGCAGACTTACATTCCCTCAGCTGTGCTGATGATTGCAGTCTTTATTTCATATTCAAGCTCGGGGCTGTTTGAGACAAAAAACGGTAGCTGTGATATATGGTCATGAAGATAGCTCTGGATGTCTTCGTCCTTAGCGCGGATCTCTAGCAATTTGCTCTTTCTTCTTTCAAATGCCGCCTTTATTTCTGGGATTGGTCGTGACGTTGCTAAAAACTTCGTGCTAATTTTTGTTTTGGCTTGAAGGTCAAATATCTGTGATATGAATTGAGACCGAACTCCGTCTGCAAATTGACATTCGTCTAGCGCATTGATTATTATGAAGACTTTCGAGTACTCCGCAACAACGGAGTGTAAGGTGCTTGAGATTTTATTTAAAGACGGACGGGTTTCCTTCTTTTTGTGGGGTTCGTAAAGTTTTTTCACGAAGTCAGACAAAGAGGATTGTCGCTTAGCTAATTGCTTTAGTATACTCGAGAGGAGGTTTTGAGGCTGTTGCCTATGCTGTTGCCGGAAATTGCAGTACATATATGCAATGCCCACACATGCATCATGGAGAAACCTTTTATACAGGTGTTCAACGAAAATGGAGGTAGCAATTGTCTTTCCCGCCCCTGGGATTCCGGGACAGAATAGGGTTTGCTTGGTTTGGTTAAACCAGTCCTGGAATTCCGTTGACTTTAACAGCTATTCCCCAGTTCTGTTCTGTCTTCTTCTAATGTAATCACTCTGCTGAGAGGAATAGTCAGTTGAGGTGAGCCAATCGAAGATGAGTTGATGATCTTGATCATCTTGTCGTCGTGTGAAAGTGTCAAGGTCTCTGGAAATTGTCTTGATGCTATCATGGACGTTATTCAGAACTACCTTTCGTTAGTACAGTACAGATAGTATGGTCGCATGGTGTTGATTCCTTTAATCAATTCCTGGTGTCCTCGACATCTTGGTCACTATCCTACAGCATTGACAACCAGCAATGTGAAGAGATGACTCTAAAATTATATCTAGAGGGGGACATTACCTTTGATGGTAGGCATCTGATCTACCTCTTGCAGAGGCACCACAGAGAGAATTTCCTTCGCAAAGGCCACCGCGACAGCTGCTGCATGCTCCTGCCAGTACTTGTTATTATGCGAGTCCGCATAGTCACAAATCCCCCCGTATTACAATGCAGGGGAAGTTGTTCATTAGTCCTGCTGCTTCCATTTCGAAGCAAAGAACATTGCCACCAAGATCCTTGTTGAGTTTATCTCGAAAAGTAGCATCTCTGATGACCTGATTGCCCGATGCGATGAGTCCGTAGTGCACACACATATCTCTCGGTCTCCTCTTCACAACTTTAGTCCTATTGCAGGAGAGGCAGCTCCCTATTTCCTCAATTCCATCATCCAAATCGATGGCCACTCCGGAATCTATTGTCCTTTCGCTGATATGGCTATAACCGGTTTCGAATAAGATATCTTCAAGTGAGTCTGACTTCAGATACTTCCGTGCTAGTCTTGGCCACTTCTTCCTCAAATCCTCCAAATACCCTGGTATCTTGGACCCAGCCAATTTATGTTCTGTCTCTAGTTTCGTCAAAGCTGTAAGCAGTGAGGTAGATGGATTGTTTAGTGACCCGGTCCGTGTGAAACCATCTCCTTTTGCCTTGCCAAAGTCTCATTGGACCACGCCTGGAAACTGGCCTACGGGTGTACTGACCACCACATCACCAAGTCGAACTTTCGGCGGAACACCGCCGCCGATACCAACCATCATGCCGAACTTGACAGAAGGAAAAGTGGAAATCATGCTAGTTGCAACGGTCGCCGCTGAATTGTTACCGATCTGTCCTTTGGGTAGACAAACTATGACGACGTCGTGTTTGCCAACGGACCCGAGGGTATAAGTGTTTGGGTTATTCGGTGGATTTGGGAGATCGGCATGTCTCCAATCCAGCATGGCGGTTGCCGCAGTCTGCTCCTTTGACAGAGCGTAGATCCATCCCACGTTATAATCATTATGGGTCAGCAGTGTCGAATGCAACACCGGATCTGGCTTCCTCCTCTTTGTCTTGCTGTTCACAGCTTCTTTATTGTCACTAATTCCTCTATTTCTCTTCATCATTGTGGAATCGGTTATGCGACGTTCTGGTTCAGTCAGACAGCAACGTCCGCTCGAACGATCGGAATTAAGCATTCTTTCACGGTCAGGTCAATAAACAGCTTACAGTGGAACAAAGGCTTGTCGACTAAGAGACGAAGAAAGGGTGGGGTAGAGGGATATAGAGCAGGCCGATGACCGCGCGGGTGGGGAGTGTAGATGATGCACAAGATCTTTTCAACGGATTCTTCAGGATGTCTCAACGGAAGGCTATTGAATGTGTCTAATCGTACTCAGAAAATATGTCCAGCAAAAGAAAAATACCAGCCAGTCTAAGTTAAAAATTCGTGAACCTGATCAGCTTAGTCTGTTTTTGTATACGGTGGAAGCTTCTAGTTGCTGTTGGATCGTCAAAACGGTAGCAAAACCAAAGCGTCGTATTATAATTCGAGTGTGATACGTATTATGTAGTATTCTTTGAATACACAGGAAGATCAATAATCCGAGGCTATTCCTAATATAGACTACTGTGCTTAGCTAATCGATATTGCGAAACAGTTTAAGAAGTGAAAGTGGTGGCACCAGTTTCGGGACGTACTGTACGGAGTAGTGGTAGGTGTCTATCTCCGCTACAGTAATATTCGAAATCAGATTTACCTCTGTTCTCTCTCACACACACTCCCTCTCTCCCTCTCTCCACCCCACTAGAGACCTACTAATACAAATTAGGTAATATTTCCGTCTATATTGTAACTATTAATGTATCTAACGAAATTACAATAAAAGATTACAGTAGTAGCCGATCCTGTACATTTTCAAACTAACTTAAAAAAAGTTTTATAGTAAATCCTTTCGCGGTAAAAGCCGGAAAAGATCCGACGACCCTAGTATTACTGTCTAGACTAAGCTCTAAATATCTGGCCAGCTTTATCCGCTGCAAGGAGGTAAGGAGGCGGCTCTTAATAGTCCCTAAAGCAGAGAACTACTGTAGCAGAGATAAGGAAAGATTATAGCTCTATTTAGACATCGCCAGAACCCATGTTAACCATAACCCAACCCAACCCAACCTAGCCCAAAATAGGTTTTAGGTCTAATTCTATAACCTATTGATAGGTTTTAGGTTGAGACCCTTAACCTAAAACCTATATAGGAACCTACTGGGTCCCTATTTTAGTGTAAATAGTGTAAATATACTAAGCTTATATAACTTCTAGAATTATAAAATTCCTGCTTGTAATTTAAGGTATAAGTTTACTATCCTAAGGTTAGGCCTTGCCAAAGCCCGCGGGCTTTTGGGCTCGGGCCTATCCGGGCCGCTAATTTGGCGGGCCGGATAGCCCGGCCTACGGGCTCAGGCCTATACCTAAGGCCCACGGGCCGCTAGTAACGGGCTTCGGGCCGCTAGTAAAGCCCGGCCCACGGGCTCGGGCCTCAATCTAAGGCCTGCAGGCTTTCGGGCCCGGCCCACGGGCCTGTAAACAAGACAAACACTAGAAAATTTGATAGTGCATAAGTTATTCATATTTCTAAGGTATTGTATTGTAATGATTAAAGCTTAAAGATATATATTATAGTTTTAAAAAGAGAATTTTATTAAAGTCTAACTAGTACGGTTTATAGCGTCTTGCCTGTTTACGGCTCCTGCCTAATACTTAAAGCTGAGTCTCTGGTAGAGGAAGTAATCCTGAGTCAGAATAATTATCTTGTTTAGGCTTAGATCTATAAGTAATAGTCCTCTGTATACTAAGTAATTAATCTGCTACAGCTACTACTGAGGCTTGTTTAACCTAAGCTATATCCTTCTCCTGATTATTACTAATAGGCTCTAGCTTATCTTTCTCTTCTGATACTCTTCTTTCCTCTTGCTCTACTTCTATATCTTGTTGTAAGAGATATACTTCTTAAATTATTAAATCTGCAGTTTTATTCTTAAAATCAGAGGTATAATTTAGCATTATAAGATCCTGAATTATTGTAGGATTCAGTGAGCTACGTCGATAATAGTAAATATTATAAGCTGAGTTGAATAGGCGCTTAATACCTGCACTAGTTATAGGGGCAGTAAGAAAGTCCTTTGTAAGATATATAAGTAAAGGATATTCTTATTAATAATCCTTCTAGTAAGTTAGAATACTCTTTGCTTTTTGTATTCCTATAAATACTTAGTAATAGCTTTTCTTATATTGAATAATTAGAGACAGACCTGTATTAAGATACTGACTGACTTTATTCTAATTATTTTGCTGTAGATCTCCTACTACTGAGCTTTTAACTAAATACTTAATATTATTAAAGCTTTTATAATTAGAGCTATTCTTATATAGATTATTAGTCTGGATATTAAGTTGTCGGTTTTTATAGGTCTTAAAATACTGCTGTAGATATTGTTAATATCTGTAGTCCTAGGGTATAGGATTATTTTTGCCTTATACCTATTTACGGGTAGTAAAGAATCTTAATTTTTTCTAAGGATAAAGGATTATTGTAATAGCAAAAAGATTACTATAAGAGTTATAAGTCTTAGAATAGTATTTATTAAGCTTTTCCTGTGCAGCCTTAAGAGCAGTAAGTATTAGCTTCTTCTAAGAAACTTTTTTTCTGCTAAGTTAATTAATAGATTTCTCTAGATAATCAAATAGCTAATTATAAATTATAAAGACTAAATAAATTATAATATCCTTTGTTCTAGAGAGGGCTGTTGTATATTTAAAGAAAGGATCTGTAATCTAAAGAAGATAATCTACTTAGCGCTATTGCTCTTGATTAAGTATAAGGTATAAGGTATTCTTTTTAAGATAGAATTAATTAAAGAAAAGCTATAGATGTTTTGCTTAGTAAAGTATTAGAAAGGTAGAGTTCTAGTATATTCTAATATCTTAAATTAGAAGAATCCTGTGTTAATCAGGCTAGAGATTCAGAAAGCTCTTATAACGTTTAGAGTTTGTATTAATATAGATTATAAGACTGTAAACCTAGAAATATAGTATATTAGTATTTAGTCTTTCTCTAATATAAGGAAAGGATTAATACTTACTTTCTTAAGAGTATAGGTAATCTCTCTTTTCCTCTGATTTTTACGTATTGCTTAGTCCTTCTTATTTAATTAGTACTTAGTTATATTATTTTTTAGTAATACTTTTATACGGCTGAGAAGCTAATTTAATATAAGCTGTATAATATATGTAAGATATAGAATTTGGACGATTTGTATCTGCTTATAAAAGGGCTCTAGCTCCTTAGATTTGTAAAGACTTTGTATTAATATTTTATTATTAGATATATTATTAGTAGTAACCGTAAGGATCCGGTCTAATAGCTTATACTTCTGCAGAATTATAATTAGGACCTTTATAAGGTTAGGATCTGAATATTCCCCGGAAAGAGACTTAAAGCTAAGTAAGAGCTCTTAATGGTTCTAATTAGTATTAATAAAATAGGCAGTAATTACTATAAAGGCCTGCTAGAATAGAGAGGTCTAGCAGTTAAGGGTAATTAAAAGCTTATTTTCCCTAGGAAGTAACTCTAGTATCTTCTTCTAGTACTATATTACTGTAAGGCTAAGCTTAAGCTTTGCAGCCTTAGGGCTTAGAATCAGAAGCCTTAAAGATATCTGTTGTACTATTTGTATTAACTTAATAAAGTTAGGATATATAAGTAGTTAAAATAGGAGATAGAATTAAGAGATAAGATATAGTTAAGCAGCGTTCTATAAAGCAGTAGTAATCTAGGTAGTATAATTAGCAACCTATAAATAATATCTTAATTAGTAAACTAGAGATATTTATTAGAATAGTATATAGATAGGGTAGCTTACCGGTTTTATAAACTTCTTAATCTTATTCTGTTTATAAGAAGTCTTATAACTTAGGCCTTTAAAATAACGGCCTATTGTAGTTAAACTACTACTATCTTTAGGGTACTTTAGGATAGTCTGATAAGCCTAACAGAGTACTCTTAGTATACCTAAATCTGCCTCTGCTACTTATTAAAATCCCTACTATAAGCTAGAGCTCTGTTTAGTATCCTAGTATATCCTGCTTGTACGTCTATAGTTGGTTTAAAGCTACTAAGATAAAAAAAGCTCTGAATCCTTTGTTATATTATAGATAGTATAGGTACGATAGCAACGTTTGTAGTAGAGGGTAACTTATTAAATTTTCTGTAGGATAGGGTTTAGGCCTTCTAGCTAATTTAGAAGATATAAAGTGCTGGCTAAAGGGGTAACTGAGTATATATCGGATAGTGTATCAGAGGGTAGAAGTAGGTAGGAAGCCTTGCTAGGTAAGGGATTAATAGGAATTATAAGAGGTATATTTAATAAAGAGTCTGGTAGGGTATCTTTATTAAAAACAGATATCTAGTCTGCTAAAAGCTAAGAGAATTAAGATATAAGTAAGAGTAGGAACTAGCCGCTAGTAGCTTAGATATCTTAAAAGCCTTATCTCTATTTATAAAAGTGTAAAATATTTAGAAGATAGTAGCTTAAGATCTATAATTAATTAGAAAGAAAGGATATAGCAGATTTTGTAGGCTGTCTAAAAGTCTGTAGGCTAGTAAAAAGCCTGTAGGCTTCTAAAAAGCCTGCTAACCTCTAAAAACTCTCTTTATCTAGTAGGTCTTTTAGCAGAAAGATTATAGATACTTATCTCTGGGTAGAAAGATAGGGGTAGCTTAGCTTTTAGCAGAATAATTAGGGTAGTATCTTATAATACTTTAAGGCTGTCTAGTTTATATATCTGATTAATATATTTGGGGATATAGGGAAGTAGATAATAGGGTATAGCTAGTGCCAAACCTAGCGTATATCTAGTAGTAAGCCTAGTAATTATATTGTTAGTATTTAAATTAGCAGGGATTTAAGTAAGAGCTATTAGGGAGAAGGGTAGAGAGACTATATATCAGAAAATAAGAAGATTACAGAGCGGATATACAAACTAGGTTTAGGTAGCAGAAACTCTTAGATACTGATTAGCTTCTAGCTTAAGATAAAGCAGATACCTAGGGTTAATCTGTATAGGGACAGC